GGCTTTCACAAATTAAGATTTGGACATTACGATGCATCATTCACAATCCAGCTGTAGTTTAAATAAATAGTAAATTCTGTATCACATTGCCCAAATATGCATCTAATACCTTACTAATGCAGCCATCATCAACGTATATACAACCCCGTTTTGTACACCATCCAATCCCATTACTTTTCTGTCTCAAACAAGCTAAGCAGCCGCCGTAATCTGCTTCAGTGGCTTCATCGGTCCCTTGCGAGGCTCGTCCGTCCGGTCTATTCTGTACTTGAGCTTGACGCCCATGGCCGCCAACTCCACATCCAAAAACTTGAGCGCACCGGGCACCACAACCTGCGTCGTCTGGTCGCCGCCAACCCAGCAGTTGCCCTGGCCATCTTCCCAAATCTCGCCCTGAATCTCCGTCAAGTCGATGCCCTCGCTGTCGTCGAGCCTGACAGCACAGTTTCGGCAACGGACCATGCTGGGAGCCTTCTTCTTTCCAGGCGCAAATTGAGATACTGTGGGCTGCACGGACAGGAATGATCCGCAGCGACGACAGATCCATGATCGAGTGTAATCTGAGCAGTTGAGCAGTCTGTCTTGCAGCAAGAAGGCTGTTCCATGTGCCAATAGGGCATCACGCTCCATTTCTCCCACACGGATACCACCACCTCTCTTTCTGCCCTTGATGGGCTGGCCTGTTGTGGGCACCACAGGACCAGTAGTTCGTACCTGGTACTTGTCGTTAACCATGTGACGCAGTCTCTGGTAGTAGACTACACCGATGTAGATATCGGCACCAAGCTCCTCTCCTGTGATGCCAGAGTACATGGGCTCGTTTCCGTGGTAGTTGAATCCGGCCTTCATCAGCTGGTGTCCAAAGTAATCTGCTGCCGTGTTGTCCTCGTCAAATCTGAATGGTGTAGAATCCTGTGCCAGTCCATGCAGGGCACCAGCCTTTCCAGCCAGCGACTCCACAAACATACCAATCGTCATTCGAGACGGGAAAGCGTGAGGGTTGATGATGACATCAGGCTGAATACCAGTCTCGGAAAAGGGCATATCCACCATCGGCCATTTTTGTGACAAGACACCCTTCTGTCCGTGTCTGGATGAGAACTTGTCACCAATGACGGGGGAACGAGGGATACGGATCTTGATGGAAATCGTCTGTAGAGGCTCAGAACCTGATTCGGCACCAATCAGTCGGACCTCTTCGATGAATCCAATCTCAGAGTCCTTGTATTTCTCGTAGTGGGTGAGTCCGTCAAGGTTGACCAGATTTCCGTTGTAATCGGGGGTGACTGTGTGCCATGCGCACAAAACATCATCTTCCTTTACCATTCGGCCAACGTGCGGCAGACCATCGTCATCAAGCATTCCCTGGTATGCCGCGCTGACATAGCTGTGAGGGGCGAAACCAAACATTTTGACAACGCTCTTGGCAGCCCTGGTTCTTGAGTCGTCCTTGAGCGTGATTTTCTTGGTCTTGTAGACGGTACCGTGACCGAAGCCTCTTTCGTGAGCAGACTTGTTGATGATCATAGCATCGTCCATGTCGTAACCGGTGTAAGAAATGACAGCAACCACTGCGTTCATGCCGTTGGGGAAGTTGTCGAAGCCATAAGTGTTGTGAAGAGGTGCACGAACAATGGGGGTTTGGCCAGTTTGTATCCTATATGATTTGTTGTCTGTTCGGTGTCGAATGGCCGTACCTGGAGTTCCCATAGTTTGTTTACCCATCTGACACTGGTACATGTTTCGGGGAGACTGGTTAAAGTCGGAGAATGGCGTCATGTTGGCAAGGATGGAGAGCATGTTGGTTGGGTCAAATTCAACGTGTGTAGACACACCAGACTCAATCTCCTGCGGGACAACAGCGATTGACATGTAAGGCTGCTCGTAGGGGCCGACAAAGTCTTCTTTCTGTAGGGGTAGGTATTTGACGGGTCGGACCATTCTAGACGGGGTGGACGTCAAGTACAGACCCGGGTATGAGCCGCCGTTTGATGGAGGGACGTATCCGATCTCGAGCTGCAAAGGTACGTTGTGCGAGCCCTCGACCTTCCAGTATCTCAAGCAGTCTCCGATTCGCAGTGACTCTTTCGGGGTGGACCATCCAAGGATCTTGCCATCCAGCATGACAACAACGCTCTCGTCAGTGGACGCGGATGATGTTTCAACAGCACCGAGCTCAGCAACCAGCGCGGGAATGCTGGAAACATCGATATAATCAGTCATAATCTTGCACTTGTGCGTCATGTGGTTCAGCAAACCGCAGGGAGAACCATCGGGTGTGTGGACGGGGCACATGAAACCCCATGATTCCGGCAGCAGTTTACGCACAGCTGTTGTCTTGAGTTGGGCGAAGAAGGCACCACGGTGAACCATTCTGAAGTGGCTGATGAAACGCAAAAAGTTGAGCTTCTCCGCCACCACAGTGAAGCCTGCCGTTTGCTGTAAATCCAGGCCAGAGGCACTCACCAGGTTACCGGTGGAAAGGAAGTATTCGAGGCCATTGGCAATGTTTTCGTTTGATTTTCTGAAAATGCCACCAGGGAACTCCTTTCGGAATTCTTCGGAGGTGAAGTTCACAGCAGGGTGTCTTCTCAGGTAGTCTCGGATAGCCGTACGAACGCTCACGCTAAGGAACTCGTCTAGCCTCTCCTTCAAAATTTGCGAGTAAAGGAATCCACCGAGCAGAATTTCCTGGTTCTGGATGGCATCGGGATTGTCGACGGCGCATTCACCAGCGGCCAAGGCGTAGAGTTTCCGAATCATGAACAGCACCATGTGGAACTTGTCGAGATCTTGCTTCTCTGTGACGTCGACATTGCCCAAGTGCACACAGACAATCTTTCGCAGGAATTCAGTTCCGACCTCGTAATCTGACATGTTCTCCGGAACTCCCAAGACGACTCTGAACTTTTGGCCCAAGTACGCACGGGTTTCAGACTTGCTGTAGAGGCGGTAGGCCTTGTATGTTCTCAACAAGAGTTCTACACGATCTGTGAGGAAAGTGTTTTGGGCCGACTTAGAGCCCATGGGTCCAATCAGTCCCTCAAAGATTTCTCGGTCGTTGGTCTCCACCAGTGCCTTCAGAATCATGATGACGGGAATAAGGTATTCGTTCTTTCGCCAAGAAAACCTAAACGTCACGTTTCCATCCTTCAAGTAATGCAAAACATTCGTCTGAGACGTCTCGTCCGGTCGTACTGATCGCAGAATGATACCGTATGTGGTGTATCCCGCACCTCGATTTGTGAAACTCGGACGGTTGATGGCCATGGGGAAGTTTCGCTTGTTCACCTGCAGGAGACGAATAATCTTTTCATTACCGTTGACAATAAAGTATCCACCAAGTTCTTCGGACTCCTCTTTTCGTGAAACCAACAAAGCAGGTGAGTTATTCTCGAGGTGACATCTGTTTGACTGTTTGCGACTTGTGAGTACTGCTGGTCGACCTCAAACAAGCTGGGAGAGATGTAAGATGGACATACCTTGATCATAATAGGAACCTGGCCAAGCTCTCTGGTAAACTCAATGACATCGCCTCCATTAATGCTGTACTCGAAAGTGGCAGAGAGCTTTCCTCTGTAGGTAGCGTGCCTCTCTCTGCACTCGGCAGGGAAAATTTCTCTGTTCAAGGCCAGCTTGTTGGACGGCGGCACCTGCGGCTTCTGCAGGGTCACCTCCTTAATCCGAATCTGGAGGCGGTTTTTGCCTTCTGGGCCAGCGCGGTCGTTGCCATCGAGGAAAACTTTTGTGCCGATATCCGCCAGGCCATGGGCGAGAAGGCCGGGCTTTCCATCGCCACGGAAGATGGCATTGAACGACTCAATGTGAGGGTTGACTGCTAGCTGGAGGGCAGGATATGCTGAGTGATCGGTAGGAGGATTGCGGAAGAGATCCTGGCGACGCAGAGTGTGAAACTGGTGGTCCCATTCCGTGCTGGTGGCTGAGGGCGCCATGATGTCGAAGAAGCAGCTTTAAGCTCGAATCGCAATTCTTGCTTGAAGATGAATGACGAGGTATTGGGGTGTTTATGAGATGCAATGCCTGAATCTTAATGCATCGAGACAGGCAGCTTCTTCTTGCGCGCGATGAATATTAATGAAGCGCCTGTCCCAACTCAATTGCAATTGGAGGCTATCCGGCAGACCCTTCACACAGGTAGCTTGCGATTGCAGAAGAAAAAAAAAAGTTGACGATAAGACTGGGTCACATGAGATAGCGCTATCGATAGTGGTTGCGCACAGTGACATATGTCAGCAAGTAAAGACGAGGCGGGGCAGTTGATGCCACTTTGGCTGCGGGGTGGCTTCACTGTGAGGTACCTCTGTATAATCTGTGGCTTCACGTTGATGCGCCACTCCAGGAACAGCTTTTGATATAATGGATGGCTTCATCAAGCTGCTTTGCGAAGGTGGCAGCCTGAGAGAAGTGTAGTTTCCTGCTTTGCTTCTTTAATCAGACAAAATGCCAACGCTAAATCAAGTCAAAATCAAACTCGACTGGCAATTAGCTCTTCTTACCCAGTATCACCGCCCTGTAATATAGCTAAACCTCGTTTTCCTAGTGTTTTTTTACGTTTATGACATATATCGCAATATTAATTTTATAGCGCAAGTATAGGTACGTACTTAAAAAGATACGTACACCTCCTCGAAGTCACTCAATCACAACAATCGCAAATAGCTGCACAACGCTCCAAATAAAGGTTGGATGCACTCAGTACAGGAAAAAAAAAACATTTCCCCAACTTCAAAATCATTTAACATTCACTACTAGGTATATACAAAGGTCTGGCGCAGGCAAGCCCCCGGCAGGGCCCCCGGAGGGCTCCCGGAGAGTATCCATTAAATTCCCTAGCCGCGCTTTCTCGCGCCGCAGCGCAGCAGCTTTACTTGCCCGCCCTTATGGACGCCTTTAGCGGGCATCAGTATTGTATTTTAAGGGAAATATTAGCCAGCATCCCAAGTCTATCATCCAACATTCCGTGTCTTGGATCCAATAATAGCACATTGTTTATATCCTCCATATTGCCTCCATATTGGTCCCTAAATCTGCGGTCCTTGAGCCACTGCCACACAAGGACTAAATGCTCGGGGCCTCAGTGAACAAAGCCATCCATCGTATAAGCTTCATCATATCATCATGGCAGCTGTGCAGTCGATTCAACCGGATGAGCCTCCATATCCCTCATTTGAGGAGCTTCGGAGTAATGAGCAGCGTGTCCTCTTCTCTCCCGCCGCCAGGCGTCTCTACTGGCCTCTAGAAGGCGTCTTCCCTTCGGCAATATCTGTCATGAAGACCGCTCGCAGCGTGGGCGAGCTTGATCCCTTCTTCAGGCCAGACACCAGCGGCAGCAGTAGTGATACCTGGCATGAGATCTCATCGCTGCCTCTGACCGACCCAAAGGTCTCTTCTGTTGAGGCTTCACTGCGCGATCTTGACCAGTGGGAATCTGATTGGCTAGCATGGCATAGGGACCATACAGCACCTGAGTTTAACGCCGAGTATATCACCTATGGAGATCTCAGCGATGATGACCGACCATACGCAAATGAGCCCAAGGAGGATGGCAGCTGGGAAGAGGATTCGGATACGGAGTTTCTCATACGATGTTGCGGAGATGATAGACCGCTTGGGAAGAGAGGGTTGAAGATCAAAGTTACCCCTTCCGCAGGCAACAACTTTATCACTGTGCATGACTATGTAAGTGGTAAGTCTTGAAACTTCTCCCCTGGGAATTTGAAGAGCTTTTCCAACCACCAGTATCAGTCGTGCATCCATGGCTCATGGGCCTGCGTGGGGATGTTATACGAGCAAAGGCTGTTGCACGTCCCATGCCTTATGTTGAGTTAGGGGTCAACATTGAATGGATGGTCAGCCACCTGACAGCGCCGCAACATGAAATAATGACGAAAGAGTCTTGGACTGAGATGCATCGCCCGCCACGCCCCATGGACGCTGCAACCTCCAGATTCCTGCAAAGAATAGGCGCAAGGACGGCCCCGTAATTTACGGTCTGTCTTGTCGTCTAGTCCAACACTCAACCATACTGGACACGAAATTCCTCATCCAACATGTAATATGGACGTTGAAGAATTGGTGCTCAGCTCTTCATAGGAGTTGTGAAGGTGATCAGGCAAGCGAAGGCCAGAAAAAGCGAGACCGTAAAATGAATACGTATATACATTCAGTAATATGAGCACTTAAACAACATATAGAACATTTATTTAATTAGTACTAAAACTTTATTATATAAATATAATAGCAGTTATTAGGAGTTATAAATAATAAGAGTAGTTACTAAAGAAACATAAATATAGTAGCAGTTATTAGAGATAAATATAGTAGCAGTTACTAGAGAAATATAAATATAGTAGCAGTTACTTAAGAAATATAGATATAGCAGCTACTCCTTTTGTAGGCGTATGGTTCAACTCGTGGGTATTCGAAATCTTCCCGGTCTCGCTTTTTCTGTCCTCCGCTTGTCAGGGTACAGAGTTGAAGTACCAACCATGTGACTGAGTAAGTTTAACATGCATATGTAGAATCTGTGGAATGCTGTGAGTGACTGGCTGCCAACAAATCTTAGCATATGAACATACGAGAGATTCGTTTGTTCTTGAGTTCAATATACCGACTCAGAAAGCTCTTCCAGCCATTTGAACTATCGGTCCTTATCATCATAATTACATATATTAGAGGGGCTGGCCATTACCTGTTATACATGGCCTCTAACCCAACGTTTCTTCTGGTCCTAATAATGGAGGAACCCTGCTTGCGGGTTCTCGCTACAGATGCTCGAGTCTGTCTCACCCCGCCAACTGACACAACGAGATCCTGACAGTCCTTTCTGAACGGGCCTTTAAGTAGTGGTGAGCCGTAGCTGATCAAGGCCACTTTGACAATTGTCCCAATATCGCGTGCTGAGAGCTCGGAGAACATTTTGAGAAATGCTGTCGGCCAGAAGTCCTCTGTCAATGTCCCCAAGTTTCGGCTCAAGATTTCGACGTCAATCATGACGTAGAGAAGTGGGATACCTTGGAGGACTGATGCAAGAATGTTAATCCAGTCTTTTTCTGACTTTGCGTCAATATGGGCCATGAGACGAGGAACCAGAACTGCATCAGTATGGATACTTTTGTTGATAGATACGGCCTGTGAAATAATATACTTTAGCAGGTCGATTGTCGACACTTCTGCTTGATCAGAAGCCGTTTTGTCAATGTTGATCGTTTTTAATGCCCAAATAACTGGACAATTTGCATCAGATAGTATCGCAATAGACTTTGCGCAGAAGCTTTGGAGATGGAAACGTGTCTTCCACGTTCCATTAATAATAACAAGACTCGAAACTTTGTCTTTATTCCATTTTTGGATTCTCGAATCAAGCCAAAATGCCTCTCCCTTGATTGACGACTTCGGCTGTCGCTTCTTGGACATGAATAGTAACAGCTGAAATGTCTTGATGGGGTCGGGAAGGCCGGCAACTGATAATTGGCCTAAGAGCTGCATAAGTTGGACTTCGGACAGTCTCTGCCGAAATTCGATTCTCGCCGACGCGCTGATGCCTTGCTCAGTCACCATAGAGAGTTTCATGTCCGAAACTGCTGTCATTAGTTCTGTAATACTTTCGCGAGTCAGCTTTTGCTCATGCATTATTCGAGCAATACGTGTGTGCATATCTCGCTGCTCGGCGTGGCTGCTATCTTCAGCCATCTTGGACATTGTATCGGATAGAGATGATATAGCTGCTAAAATATCACCATATCGTAGCTCAGCAGGCTTCGTGATTGCTTGCAGCATATGTGTCATTTTACTTTCTCGGTACCAGCTAAGGGCCCGCAAAAGAAATTTGAGTATATGGACATATATCTCAACAATGACCTGCCTGATTTGCTGAGTTGGATAGAGTCGTATGATGAGTTGTGCGCGCGGTATGACCTGTGCAATGCTATTGAGCCCAACACAGAGTTGCGAAACAAGTTTATGATGGTTTATGACTGACTAGAAGCTTTATCTCAGACAACTAGAAACGAAAGGTATGGCTAAGGGTAAACCTACGAGAAGAAGAAACTTCATAGCACTGTAGGCTAAAGTTGAGTATTCCGGTTGTTGTGGGAGTAGCACGTCCATGATACTACTATAACTGTATAATTTCTCTGAAAGATGCACTAATTTTTTACGAAGCTTTGAATTGCCTTTTCGTTCTTCGTAGTAAACTTGGGCCTCTTCGACAGATGCGAGGACGCTCTCAAAGTTCCCATACTTAGAGTCAGTGATCCACTGCTGCTGCTTCCCATCCTTTGAGAATTCTGCGGAAAACTCCGCTAGAGCTTCCTTGAAAATACCCTCAGCGCCGGTCGTACTTTGATGAAAGAGTCGAATTAGTCACCAATATTCTTCTTTTAGTATACCGACTGCAGAAAGCTTACCATTCGGATGCTTCTGATGAAACATACCAAGCACTAAGCGCATTAAATTGCGACGTTTCCATTGTCAAAAAATATATCTTTGAGATCAAATATCGGAAATTTTAGTTAATGAAATACTCTCGTTCTGTTACCAAAGGTCGATAATTATATCAACATAACTTGAAAACGGGACACTGCCGTCTGCATGCTACATACGACTAGATATATGTAGTTGGCTAGCCCTAGAATCATGTATATATTGTACAGCAGTGTTAATAAAACTGCGCCACTGCGTGCGTTATACTGTGGTAACATCCATCTTATTTTTGGAGCACGAGGCTGATAAGTACCTTGTACGTTGCTGCCTGACGCCCAGGTAGTACATGCGCGTTGGGCAGCCTTGATTTGACCTGCCTCTAGGTATGTATACCAAGGGCGGCTGCGACGTACAAATGGAAATTGCATCTTTGTAAACGAAATATTCGTAAGAATACCCGCATGTTATATCATTCACAACGCCCCGGCGAGCAAAGGATATGGAACCGCAAGGTGGAAAGCAGAGGGTAAGGCCATCAAAGCAGAGGGTAAGGCCATCAGAGCAGGGTGGTGCATGGCCCAAACCCTCGCTCTCAAGAGAGTATAGAAACAGTCGTTCAGACCGTCGCAGAGAACCTGATTACAGCGACGAATCGCCGAGCGACTCCGCCTCTCCCGACGAGGCGCAAATTGGTAAACAGAAGCCAAACAAGGCGAATCGGTTACCATCTTCCGGGCGATTGACACCGATACAAACTACTATTTCGGATGACAGAAGTCAAGGAAGTGAATTTCATCTCAACAGTCACATTCTCTGTGCCTTAGAGAGAACAACTACAGATGATAAATCTGGCAAACCTGTCAAACCTCGCGATTTTGCCGAATACTCCTATAGCAAGTATGGCGAGTATATCCCGACGAGAGAAGATAAAGGTACCTATATCTATAAGAACGACGGGTATGTAAATGTATAAGGCATATTCAACCTCTTATACCCAGTGTTACCGACTACCAAGCTAGGTAGATAGCTAAAAGTTCTATTAGTACTCCACGCACACGCTCCTACTACGCTTTACAAGACGATCAAAGGCAGTCAAGTTTGCTAGAAGACCTAAATGAGAACCGTCCTGTATGGCGTACAGCGCCAATGAAACCGCCACACATATATATGGGTAATTTATATCAGAAAGAGCAAGAGCAAAGGCAGAAACTATTGCTCCTACAGCAGCAGCAGCAACAACAACAACAACAACAACAACAACAACAACAACAACAACAACAACAACAACAACAACAACAACAACAACAACAACAACAACAACAACAAGATTCTATGGAACGCACTGACTCATTGAACTCTGCTCTTCAATTAATAACAAGAGCCCTGAATATACAGGACGAGCCAATGTTGACCATGGAAACTTTGCAGGCATACCTGCTGGACCTCAAACTGAAAGGGAAAGCGCAACAAGCAGCTTATCCAAAAGTTCAATTGATACATCGCGTATTGAACCAGAGCTTGAACCTAGTAGATATGGAGAAACAAATGTACCTTGATCAGCCAATATGGTTAGAGGGAGCGACATCACATAGGGAGGCTCTTGCTGGTAACCTTCCACTGCAGGGCACCTTATCTTACCTATCGAAACGCCCGGAGGTCTGTTGTCTTATATACAGGGATTATGATGTCACTTATATCAATCGAATGGAAGTTTTGGATGAAGACTACGACCTACCAATTAAGCCAAAACATACTGCGGAGACCGTTCAGTTGGTGACCGCAAGCCTTGCTGCTGCGGTAGCCAGGTTTCTGAAATACTACAATTTCGATACACAAGACGATGTTATCATGGAATCAGTCGAACTTTCAAGTCTTTATATCGCCATATATCATGCTCGAGGAGACACCTTGATACCTTTTTTGGAAACATTAGAGGATGAACAACGTGATCAATTTCAAGCGCTACTAGATTTCTTCATGTCTCAATACGAGGACGAGTATAGCCTTGTTGATCATATGACTCGCAGAGGCATAATCACACAAGAGTACATCAAATATCTCTTCAAGCCTGGGGACATTATTGTAGAAGACCATGATCAAGATACAAGAGGTTATTTGGCCATGTCCTGGCTCAAAGACGACGACAGAGAAGATCGGTCAGACCAAAGCTCGAGCCAGACCGAAACTAAGACAACTTTCAGCATGAAAGCTTGGAACTGGGAATTGGATAGTGTATTCTCAAGAGAAGTCGGAGCTCTTACTATACAATTCGATGCGAAAGACTACTCGGAGAGAAAAATTAGTGATATGAACATTCGACCGCTCCTTTACGTTGAAGAGCCCACGAAAACAAGACTGGAAATAAGAGGACAATGGTTCTGGAAGTGTCGCATGAGACGCATGGTATGTTACGATGACACACGAAAAAGCCAACACTACTCTATTGATGAACGATACATGGTCGATATGATGATATATCACGAATTACATAAACTTAACTCCTCCATACGGCGTCAATATATTGACTATATTGACTCTGAAGCACTGAAGCAGGAAAATCCTCCTGACAAGAATTTCATTTATCTATCGCCTCTGACAGTAAAGGCATACAACCTCAAGAGGAAGAAATGGGTGGATTTAAATCTTGACGGGCTCCGCGATATTTCTTGGAACACACAAGCGTTTGAGAGCCTTGTGCTCAAGGAAAAAACAAAACGACTGATTCGAGCCCTCGTAAGCAATCAAATCGAAGCAGAAAAATCCACAGATCTTATTAGTGGTAAAGGAAACGGCTTAATCATGTTACTCCATGGGGGACCGGGTACAGGTAAGACCTTGACTGCTGAAAGTGTGGCCGAAATCGCCAAGAGGCCGCTGTATCCCGTTACATGTGGAGATATTGGAACGAAGCCAGAAGATGTTGAGAAGTATCTCGAGTCCGTTCTCTATCTGGGCAAGACCTGGGGGTGTGTAGTCTTGCTTGATGAAGCAGATGTCTTCCTGGAGCAGCGCAGCTTGGAAGATCTACACCGTAATGCGCTGGTGTCGGTATTTCTAAGAGTTCTGGAATACTACGACGGGATCCTGATCCTGACAAGCAACCGGGTTGGCACCTTTGACGAAGCATTCAAATCCCGCATTCAACTGGCAGTCCATTACAATAGCCTGGACTTGGACCAAAGGACCCAGATTTGGCGCAACTTCACACGGCGTTTAAAAGACCTGAATGAAGAAGGCATCGATTTTGCAGATTTGATGGATAACATCCCACAACTTGCTCGCAAAGAGATGAACGGAAGGGAAATTCGCAATGCTATTACAACAGCGAGACAATATGCTAGATGGGAGCGACAGCAGGATCAGAGTTTCAAGCTGGACTATAAGGTAATGAAAGAAGTGATTGAAACGGCTGGAGAATTTGACGATTATATCAATACTTTGAATGGTGGGTTTACGCAAGAGCAGTTGGCAAAAGAAGACGGGATACGCTAGTGGGATTAGTATCTTGATATTATTTCCTTTTGCAACATTATTATCGAACACTATCACTTGCACCTCTTTTTTTTTGCGAGGATGTGATTAAATCTCGATCAAATAACCGTGACTCGCTTGTCAGAGCTTCGACAAAGTAGGCTATCAACACCTTATTACGAAATGTTATGAATTGATATTTGATTAGATGTCCATACAAGCAAAAAATCACATGTTCTGTGTAGGAGATGTGATGGACATGTCTCTTCCCAGCCCATGTCTTTGCATTAGTCATCATCATCAAAAAGACGCGATTTAGGGGAACATATGATATCGATGCAAAGCTGGGTCCATATAGCGTGACGGCTTAGGATTTGCCAAGCTGTCAAGGTCTGCTAGGCCTCATTGCGTATGAATCGACATTCCTAGCACCTTATGTGTGTTCTGATTCAAAGCCGGCCTTCGTATGCTGTGTCTGGTTCCGAGTTAGTGTCTCTGTACTGGGTGGGAGACTAACATTGGCCCAGCATCACAGTCCGCAAAGTGACGGATGACCTCGATTGCTGGTTGGTGTGCCTAGCACTCTATTTGGGAGATATCAAGGTGTCATAAAGTGGTGCTCGACGTAATAATGCCTAGCCTCCCCCTCCAAAGCGGCCCCCCTGGTCGTGATATTTCCGCATCTTGTCTCGTACATGGAGCTTAGGTATCTGTGTTCCACATTCAACCCATCTTCTCCATCTTGACCAGGCTAGGAATTGCAGGTCCTATTACAGTGCTCTGTATCAGGCATCTTCATCATTTTTTTTTTCAGGCCCGGGGCTCTCTAGCTTGCAAATGTAGCACTCATTCAGAGCAGGGTGGCAGAGATTTTAAAAACCAGCCGGGGTCCCAGTATCTCTCCCGGTTCTCTAGGCGCCGGGACTTTTGCCTCGAGGACTGAAACCTCGCTTTCGATGCCTGCACCTGCACCTGTCGATAAAGTGCTAGGCGCCGGAGCAGGGGCTCCAAATGGGAAACGTCGTCGCATGCGTTTTCTCGCAAAGAGGCGCCCCGATCGTCCAGATCAGGATGCAGCCCTCAAAGGAGGCAAAAGAGAGCTAGCAGGGCCTCGTGAACAGAGCACTGGGCTCGATGTCTTCGTGTGTGACGGAGAGGTGCAGCATCCAAGTTTATGCGGTGAAAGAGCGTGCCCGTCTTCAATATTCTATTTTCATTTTTTTCATATTTGACCCATTGGATTGGAGGGAATTTCGAAACGAACATGGATTCGATTACTGGAATTTCGTGATATTTGATATGGATGGAGCCTCTATTACTACTAGACCCCAAGCTATGGACACGGACATGCTACATACAGTTACAAGTCCCAGGTTCAGTGGCGGGGCAGAGGGACAAAGAAAAAAAGAACCGACGAAAAAAAATCAACAAAAATGGGCAAATAAATCGCTGCCTGTCATTGAACCTTATCCGGCCCGCCAAAGCTAGCAGCGGCAGGTACTAAGCAGGCCGACCACTTTCCACTTTCCAACCCCGCCATCGTCAGACGCGCATATTCATCCTCCTCATCCTTATCGATATTCCGCCATCAGTCATCCAATCCATTTCCGGCTTCACGACTTGTCTGCTCCTCCTCTTCTGCTCCTCTACAACAACATAACATCACCACCATCATCGCTACCATCGTCACAGCATCGATCACAACAGAACCGCCGGCTGCAAGAGACACCCTAGCACGGCACAGAGACAGAGACAGAGACAGAGACACCGCAGCAGCTGCCAGACCAGACCTTGCTACTACTGTAGGCGCTGTGCTCCAGAATCCACCGTTGCAGGCGCTGGAAATGGCATAGCACAGCTGCAGCCTGTCACTGAGAATCACCACATACTCGTACATACTCGTACATCAGTCCTGCCCCAAGGCAAATCATCCATCACCAGGCCTGTCCTCGCATTACTAGCCGCAGGACTAATTACCTCTTCTATCCCATACCTGCACAGTACAGTACGGGGTTGCTGCCAGTGAGAAGAGTGAGTACTACAGTCCATCTGAGACACACTGGGCCAAAAGGTCCAGGTCTGCTTGCACAAGATACGGGGTGCCTTTTATGCATCCTCACGAGCCAAACCCCCGGCTCATGATCGGCCCAGTCTGCACAAACGAATGAAACGGCACACTTTGCACAGGGCAGCGGTTAACCTCGATTGGCAGCGTAGGTCTGGTGACTCGACAAACACAGCATACCCGCTTCCATACGACGTCCCGAAGTTGCGCACGCACGCACGGTACAGCTTCTCTTGGTGCGCCGCTGCGACAAACCACAGCTGCGCTTTGGTTGGCTGTCCCTTTTTTCCCTCTCTCTTCTAGCCATCCTTCTGGCCACTAGCCGTCCAGATAGCGGAGCAGAGCAGCTTGCCGTCCTCATGCTACCAGTTTGCCAGCTTCGGACCTACGTCAACAGGTACTAGCTGTGGTTGCGATACGCCATCTCTACGCCAGGCCCTACGCCCTGCTCTACACTCCAATTTTTTTTTTGGCTGCTCCATCTCCATCACCCTGCTCTCTACGCATCTTCTACGCATCTACGCTCATCTCTGCCGCCTCCCTCGCATTCCAGACGAGCTCGCGGCAGCCCAGGTTAGCTCTCCCAGACCCCCAGGAGCTCGTGCTTCGACGCCCGTCAGCCCGCTCGCTGCTCTTGTCTCGACCGCCATCCATCTCCCAGGTGGGGTTCCCTCTACTTCTGCCGCCAGGCGTCACCTCAAGCCCTCATGTCACTTGGACCAACCGTTGCGCAACAACCTTGAATCTTGCTCTCTCCGCATCCCTATCTTGCCCCATCTCTCTTTTTTTCCTCCCTGATTTTTTTTCTCTCTTTCCTGCAAGGGCATTACGCATCGCCCAAACGCAGTCGACGAGCTTCGGCAGCGAGCTTACCTATTCTTTCGCAGTTATAGAGTGTCGACCTCCGCTACTACTCCATCTAGCCGCATCGGCCCTATCGCATGCCAGGCGGCAAGCTTTGCACCCGCACGACCTTTGCGCCGTTGTCGGTAAATCGATAGATTTGTCCACGAGCTCACGCAGCGACGTTTCCTCGACTGTACCATTCGTATTATACATTTGAAAACGACGGCCGCCATCGCGCGACTTCCTGAGACATCGACAAACGTTTGACCGCCGGTCGTACCGCCGAATCGATTTCTCGCAACGCCATCTGCTGATACCGTTTCCCCTCATCCTCATCCTCTTCCCCCTCCCCCCCTCCTTGTACCAACATCCGATCGACGTCTCGCATAAACGATTTAAACATGGCCGGGCTATTCAGAAAGGTGTATGATTGGTTGTTGAGGACGTTTTGGTGAGTCGCTCTACTGCGCCGGAATTAGAGGCGGGGGTCCCACGATACACTGGGTGGTGGTGGTGTGTGTGGCGTTGCTGAGTGTAGATGCTAGCCGTGCTGCGAACCCGAAGCCTGTCCTGTGCTTGAGCCATGAGTGTGTTTGTGCCTGTGAAATCTGACTGGTGACGATAGGGCGATGGAAATGGAAGTGACCATGGTTGGTCTGCAAAATGCCGGAAAGACATCGTTGCTGCGAGTACTGGCTGTAGGTTTCCCCCTTGCCACACCTTGCTGCTTGGGGCCGGGCTGACTGAGTTATTGGGATGATCCTTTAGGGTGGAGAGTTTACTCTTGAGTAAGTGCATGCCCTTCCATTGCCCCATCCCCCTCCTGCCTCTTCCTGCTGCCATGGAGGATCTGCCGTGGAGGATCTGCAGTGGTCAGCTGAACCCTCTCGGAACCATGGCAACCTCTGAAGATGTGTTGAACATGTCGGTCCAGTTACTGACTGCGAGTCTTGTGTAGCTCGATTCCGACCGTCGGGTTCAATATGAAGCGTGTGCAACGGGGGCATGTTACACTAAAATGCTGGGATATTGGTGGGCAGCCGCGCTTTCGCACCATGTGGGAGCGGTATTGCCGTGGTGTCAACGCCATCGTCTTCATCGTAGACATTGCGGATGTAGAGCTCATCCCCCAGGCCAAGGAGGAGCTTCACTCCCTCATGGCCCACCCGTCTCTAGGGGGAATCCCCCTGCTTGTTCTCGGCAACAAGTCTGACCTTCCAGAGAAGCTGTCCGTCGATGAGCTGATTGATGAGCTGGACCTGAAAAGCATCCAGCACCGTGAGGTCTGCTGTTACGGCATCAGTGCCAAGCACGAGACAAATCTCGACGCTGTGGTGCAGTTCCTGGTGAAGTGGGCTGGTCGATGAAGGCCTTTGCCTTATGTGCCTGGACAAGCAGACGACTGAGCAGCCGCCTGGTGGTCCCAAGACAGCACATGACCTATGCTTGGGAGCAACAAGACCAGGACGAAGAAGGATGCTGACCATTAATCCCCCTAATGCCCCAGAACTCCCAAGTGCGAGAGGTCGACTAGACCTGGCACCCTTTTGAGCGAACCCACAGCCTCTCCCCCCCGCCTGTGCGGCGTGGAGGCGGGATATTTCCGGACGGATGACAGTTGGTATATAAATTTCCTCTCTCACGAACTCTCATGAAAGATGATGGCGACCATGGCAACATTTTGTTTTTGTTTTTGCCCTCGACGGGGGCTAGCCCTTTTGACTAATCCCCCCTTTGGCTCCTGGCATGGACGGAAGTAGAGACGGCGGCATCCGGAGGCATCGAGTGTGAGATATAGAAAACGGAACCGGGGCTTGGAGCATGGTGGGCACTTGCCCGGTGTGTTTGTGTGATTTGCCCCCCCTTTTCCCCCAGTTTCTTTGGCTTGGATTAGTTGCGATGTTTTTTGTTTCCCCTCCCGCGGACAAGATCAACTCCAAGGCGCGCCTATGTATAGCAAGCGATCCGGGCGATGAGATATGAATGATGATTTATAGCATTTTGTGAGAACAAGGAAAGCAAAAAGAAAAACAGACACAGACACAGACACAGACATGCTCTTCAACGGGACCCGGTGATACAGGTCGATCAAGGCTGGCGACGTGCGAGAAGAGGGAGCTTCCCATTCGCACGCCGTCAAGCCAGAGAGTGAGTGAGCTGTAGGCCTGTATATGTATATGTAGAATGTAAAAGAATCATCACTATCTGGAGACCTGGAAAACAAGAAGATCCGCGGAGTGTCCCGGGTGTTTGGTCCTGGCAGCCAAGGTAGGAAAGGTCATGGATGGGGATGCGCGGGGCTTGGACGAGGGATGGAGTTGATTGGTGGGCGTGTGGGGTTAGTGATCCCATCACCACCCAAAGCAAGCGAAAGAAATCGAAGGGGAAATGTGGCTTGCTGATTGACGAAGAAAAAGAAAAAAGAAGGCAGAGAAGAGGGTGAATAGCACTGACCCAAGTATAAAAAAAAAAAGCGACAACCAGCAGGGAGGGGGGAAAAGAAAAAGAAGAAGAAGCAGCACGGCAAAGACGGTGGGTTGACGGATCTCGAGGCTACACACGGACCACTTGATGCGTTGGCCAACTCATCACTGCAGTTGACAAGCGCCGCATTCCCTGTCTGGTGATTTGCTTGGGGGTTTGTTTTGTTTGCTGGGGGTGGTTTTTTTCTGGTTTAGGGATGGGGAGGGGTTTACGGGTGTTTTCTTCTTCTTTTGATTTGCTTGTGATTTTTGGCTATTTTATTTTATTTTATTTTATTATGTTGTAATATCATGCTGTGGTTGTTTGATTTTTTGTTTTATAGAGGTAGTAGTAACAGTAACAGTAGTATATGGCGCATGTGCATGTGCATGGTGCAGCAGCGCATGTCTTATGCCCTATGATGTGATGGGCGTCTTCCGCCCAGAGAGAGACAAATCATCCATGTACTGTACATACACGACAAGAGAGAAGAAAAACATGTGTGTGTGTGTGTACCCGTCAAACGGTATCCGGAAACGGGGGGGTTAGAGAGAGAGACCGGGGTGGTTTGTGTCTGCTTTAGTGGTGGGATGAGCAAGAAATGCCAGCGCATCAAGTAGGGGTGGGTTATTTATTTGTCGGGGGTGGGCATGGGAGGCTGAGAATGGAGATGGGACATGGAACATGGAGATTTTGGTACGATTAAAAAGGTAAGGTTACTGTGACTGCGGGTTTATTTTTGTATGGATGGATGGGGGGAAGATGGGGGGATTTTTGGTGATGTTTACGGGGTTACGGTTGTTGTTGTTTGTTAGGTGTTTTGGTTTTCAACTGGGATTCTTTTGCACCATGGGCGTTGATGGACGGGAGAGAGAGAGCATGGGGGGGCTGGGCCATGGTGAGTGATGTGAGTACCATATGATGATGATGATGATGCAACGGAGCATTGAGCAAAAAAAATGAAGCAGCTGGTCATTTGGCCTGCCGTGCTGGACCAATCTCATGTCAAAGCGAGGAGAATTTTTTCATTCTTCTGTCTCTTGCAGTAGGAATTTTGTTGAGGTTGCAGGAGGCTGAAATGCATGCATGGATTCGCTGTTAAAAACTGCTGCTGCTGGGGCGGGCATTGTTGAGAGAGGCTTTTTTTCCTTTCGAGTCTTTCGACCGAAAAATGCCTACCTATGCAATGTATATGCCATGTACATGTAATGTAATGTAGTGCGTAGCGTAGCAGAGTGCATATGCAGCATGAAAAAAATAATGTCAGAGGAAACGTACGAAAAAAAACGAATGAAACGAAAATGATATGATATGACAAGAGGAGATGATAGCCAGCAGCGAGAAAAGAGGGGGGATGCGGGTGGTGTTTATAGGGTTCTGCAGGTAATAAAGTGAGAGAGCCCGGTTTGATGACATGGCAGCGGGTGTTTGGGCGGATAAGGGAAGCGCGATGTAAGGGAGTTGAGGGTTTTTGTTTTTCGTTTTTTAGGGGACGTGCTAATGCGATGTAATGTATGTAATGCGTGTGTGCGTAGATGGGTGGGTATTATGTATGTTATGTGGTTTGATGGGATGGATTGAGTTGAGGTCGTGGTTGAAGGGGATTTGTTCGCGTGAGGGCTGGGTGAGGAGGGGCGAGATGCGGTGATGAGGGGTAGAATTGAAGGGAGGAGGATGACGATATTGGAATTGTTTTTAGAGAGAGGGACTGAGAAATGGGAGGAGCAGAGAGAGTTGATGCTGATTGATATTATTGTGAAGGGAGATACGTTGTTTAGAGAGTTGGAGTGAAATACATCTTGAGTATAATACAGTGTAGAAGAGACTTGTAGCAATGTAAAAGTGATGCTCGGATCTCGCTGTGATCAGGTGCCACAGCCGCATCTCCCACGGTAGATAGTCAGTCACTAGCCGATACGACAAGACAAGAGTCTAGATTTCACCAACAGACAACTTATTCGAAAGATGCAGCTCAAATTCACTTAGTTAGTCCGTTGGGCAGCCAGACGCTGCATCTGCTACTATCCTGGCTCGCAACAAACAGCAAACGACGTCACCGTTTTGGGTGTCAACGAACAATACATCCCGCCCCCACCTTTGGATGATGCAGGTATTTTTAGATATTCCCTTTCTCTCTCCTCATTTTTGTTTTCTCTCTTTTTCTTTCTCATCGTGGCTTTTTTAACATTGGAGTTTGGGGAGTAGACGTTGCTTTCTTTGTTTCTCTGTTTTCTGGGATTTTGTTTGTTTCTCTTTTAGAGTTGAAAAGGGCGTTGTTTTTAAAGGTTGGAATTGCTTTTTAAAAAAGAAGGTTGGGAGAGGTGAATGTGAGTATGAAGTGATGTTATTGAGGATGATGACTTTTCGGGAGAGAGACTGACATGTGAAAATATAGCCAGGCACCTCTTAGAAAATGGAGTTTTGACATTTGACTGGCGAGACACACTACGCTTGATGGCGGTGGGTACCAACCAACACCAACAACCATCATCCTATATTAATGAGCATTTGAGAGGCTGACTTTGATCTCTTTTATTATATAGGACGTGTGTCTTTAATTTCCAAATTCTCTTCTTCACCTTCATTTTTCGGCTTTGTTTTCACACGGTAAAACAGTGTGAAAACAACAGCCAGTGGCCAATGCCTCTTTTGGCCAGGCGTAACAACACACTGCTCTAACCGATATACAGAGAACAGCGTCAATGACACTTCTCACGCGACACTGACAAGTGTCATTGATGCTGCACATATGTAGGATAGGGATGGGGCAGTCTGTTCTTCTGGCTTGTTCCCAAAAGGAGTATTGGCAGCTCTTGTTTCATCATCAACTTTCTTTTAATGGACACGAAAAATGGCATTAATGGTAATGGGATAATGGGAGGAGAGGATAAGAGAATGGCTGAGGCAAACTTTCGTTTTGATTCACATTCGCTTCCTTGGATTGTGTGCTCTTGAGCATCCATTCCTTGCTTCATTAGACAATATTGGTTATAATGGCATACGTGTCTCAGCTCTATTTGGACTGTCTTATCTAGTACAATATGCATGCGTGAAAGAATAACCTGGAAGGTAATAACCAAGACTCCCTTGTACACCCAGCCAAAAAATAAAACATAAAATAAAACATAAAAAAATAAAAATAAAAAAATAATCATAAAAAGATATCATGTCCTGATTGCCTCCCTTCCAAAAGAGAATATGCATAAATAATCAAGGATAATCCGTAAAACCGGCCGACTTGCCGCTCCTGTCCAGCAGGTACTTGTACTTGTCGCCCTCCCTCCGCAGCACCGGCGGAATGTCCTGGTTCCGCTCGATCCTCTCAAACGTATCGATATCCCGGCCCCAGACGTCCTTTCCGTCACGGACCGCTTTCGCAATGTTGTCCTTGTTACGGAACTCTTCGTCATTCATCCACACGTGCGAGAAGCTGGCCATCTTGTTGAGGAACTGCTCCATGGTGGCGAAGCAGCTGCTGCAGTGCCAGGCGGCGTTGCTGAGGCGCGACTTGTCGAGGTCGCGCAGAAAGGGCACGCCGCCGTCGCCGTTGCGCAGGTTGGTCGGGCGGACGGTGCGCCAGCCCGTGTAGTAGGTGGCCTGGGGGTGCGGCCACTCAGGCCCGGAGTGCAGGAACTGGAACGAGTAGTAGTAGAAGCGCGAGGCCAGCGTCAGGCGGCGCGGGAAGTTGCACGTCCGCAGCAGGAAGAGCGACTCGGGGCGCGGGATCTCGTCGACGTCGGCCACGAGGATGACATCCCCATACACGGGGGCGGCGCGGCCGGCCAGCTGGGGGAAGACCTGGTCGTACATTGCGTCGCGCTGCAAATCCTCATAGTCCCAGGGCCGCTTGGGGTCGAAGGAGGCGGGAAAGGTGAGCTGGTGGTAGACCATCTTGTCGTGGAAGCGGCGGAAGCGCTCCCAGCTGGCCAGCACCGTCAGCGGCTTGTCGTTGCCCTGGAAGGTCTTGGGCGACTCGACAATGACAAAGTAGTCGACGTGGTCGTAGAGCGTCTCGAGGCGGATCTCCATCCAGTCCAGCTCCGTGTTGACCATGAAGAGGTCGTAGATCTTGCGCTCGCCCGACTGCGACTGCGGCGCGAAGACGGTGTAGCCGTGGGCGTCGCAAAAGGCCCGCGCCTGGGGGGAGGCGTAGTAGTCGCGCGCGCGGGACGAGAAGTTGAGGTGCGAGGGCAGCTCTTCGCCCAGCACGAGGTCGAGGTTGGAGATGCGGCGGAGCTCGGGGTGCGAGGCGAGGAGAGGCTGGCCGAGGAGCCAGTAGGACAGGCTGAGCAGCCCGGCGACGAAGACGAGAGAAGTAACCCGAGAGGCCATGTTTGCGGTTTCTATCTCATCTCATTGCTGGAGAGAGGAGGAGGAGAGGAGAGGATAGGAGTTGTTGGAGAGAGAGCGCGAGAGAGATGATGAGCTGCGTAGGATCGCCGGAATACGATGGATGGGCAGAAAAAAAGCCACGCACAGGGATCGACGCGTAGAGGAAAAGCCTTGCAGCAGTAGATTATCGGATTATCACGCCAGCTCTGGTACTGCAGTCGAATCGAATCCCGGCTATTGGAACAAGGGTCTCGTCCCTCTGTTTTTTTCTGCTTGTCGCACCTCTGCCCTTTTCTAGTCCATGATTCGCACGAGTGAGATGATACGAGCAAAGCTACGACACAAACGGCGTTGGCCGTCAGCAGAGCATGAGGGTCCCCCCATGGCTGTGGTTATGGTGCCTGGCTTTAGTGTTTAGTGTCACGGTACATGTACCCGCAAGCGGAAGTTGTTGGGTTGGATTATTGATGGTGTCAGATTCATTGCGACGATGCCGGGGAGGGCAAGGGATGAACAATTGGTGAGAGAAAAAAAGATGGTCAAAAAGAGAGAGGAAGAAGAGGTTTGAGGAATTGGTTTAATTGGGCACAAGAGGCCTTATAAAGAGGGTTGATGCGCTGGAAAGGGGGAATTGATGCCAAGAAGCCGCTCTCCCTTGGCTGCGGTGCGACACGGCGCTGAAGAAATTGCGTAGCGAGAGACTTGCAGGGGGTTTGTCTTGGGTGGTTTATACGTGTATTTACATGTATTTATAAGCTGCCAATTTGCATACCCTGTGGCTGACATGTTAGAGGAAACAAGTTGGGATTTGTGTGTGTTTCTTAGGAGACAATTGGATGTTGAACCAGTGTGAATGATGCTGCATTGGGAGATAAAGCTCCAAGTACATGTACTCCAACCCATGATGGTTTGAACGGAATGGAATAGTAACAGCTTGGCGCAGAGTGAATGACTAAGCTTCCATTGTCAACTCTGTGTAACCAAACAATTGGACAAGTATTCAGCTTGTGAGGTGATGAGGCATTGGCTGCAAATGTAAACTCATCAATGCATCCAGTCATGCAACCACTGCATTTAACCGCTAGATTAAAGAGCCGAATTTAACAGCCCTGGAGTTGCTGTAATGCCCTTGTGCCCTTGTGTCAACAGAGCAGCCCTTGAGCCATCAGCCACAAGTATAGCCACAAGTAATTATAGTGCTGATGATAACAGTAGTGAAACCGAGAGTTAACAACAGTAGGAATAACAGCCATGGATAGTCAAACTACTACTAGACTATCCTTATCATACATATCCTTCTAGAAGCAACTAAACAACCAAAGGGCGTCCGTGATTCCCACGGAGGGCGCAAGCGACATGTCCCGGCCCCCGGAGCCGGGGCGGAGCGGCTCATTGTTTAGCCCCTCCACAAACTGTCCCTTCGACCCCTCCACTCCGTTGGAGGGCCCTTGATTGCAATTTGGGTATATAAAAAACTACAGCAATTCAATGAGGGGCACGCTCTGTTCCCTGCATCTCGCCTCGGCGTCAAGCTCACGAGCTTTTGTATATAAACAGACCGGACATCTCTTAAGACGTCAGTCGCCGTTCCTGACACGACGACTTCTTTCCACCAGCATCATCAGAAACAGCGCATCAGTTACCATGGGAATTGAAGTAGGAAATGCCTGGGTGGGCGTCAAGGGCGCTGGATCGCTCGACTTACGAAGTGAGAACCGAAGAATTAATATTAATGCTCAATCAAGACTAGTCTGCTAACATCCTTTACTCATAGGCGATGTCATGACGGTCCCCACGCCGTCCATGCTGGCGGCCATCTCCAACTGCACCCTCAGAGACGACGTCTTTAACGAGGATCCCACTACGCAGGACCTCGAGGCTCATGTGGCCAAGCTGGCTGGCAAGGAGGCCGGTCTGTTTGTTTTGTCGGGCACAATGGGCAACCAGGTGGCATTGCGAAGCCTCTTGGTCCAGCCTCCTCACGGCGTTCTAGCGGACCATCGCTCTCACATTATTCTCTACGAAGCTGGAGGGTTAGTAGTTTTCTTTCATTCTCTCTTTCTTAATTTTACTCTTGTTGTTTCTGTTATCGTTAACATCCATCTAAACAGCGTCTCTTCCCTGACTGGCGCCACTGTCAAGCCCGTCGTCCCCAAGAACGGCATCCATCTCACCCTCGAGGACATCAAAGCCAACGTCATCATCAGCGACAACGTCCACGACTGTCCCACCCGCGTCATCAGCCTCGAAAACACCCTCAACGGCATGGTCACCCCCCTGAGCGAGGTCAAGCGCATCTCCCAATTCGCCCGCGAAAACGGCATCAAGATGCACTGCGACGGCGCCCGTCTCTGGGAGGCCGTTGTTTCCGGCGCGGGCTCCCTGGATGAGTTTTGCGCGCAGTTTGACACGGTGAGCTTGTGCTTCTCCAAGGGGCTGGGAGCCCCTGTTGGTAGCATCATTGTTGGAGATAAGAAGACGCTGGACCATGCTCGGTGGACGCGCAAGTCTATTGGAGGTGGTATGAGGCAGCCGGGCTTCATCACGGCTGTTGCTAGGGTGGCTGTGGACGAGACTTTTGGTACTGATTCTAAGGGAAGTGATGGTCTGTTGAAGCAGACTCACGAAATGGCGAAGAAGGTTGAGGCGCTGTGGACGGGCATGGGGGGCAAGTTGGTGCACCCGGTTCACACAAACATGGCCTGGGTGGACATTGAAGCGGCTGGTTGCAGCTTGGAGAAGTTTACAGAGCTAAGTGAGGCGGAGGGATTGAAGGTTGGTGGTGGACGGTTGGTGACACACTATCAGATTGCGCAGAATGGCGATGAGGTGCTCAAGCGGTTGGAGAGAGTGTTTAAGCAGGTGTTTGCTTAGAGGGCGACGAGTTGTCATGAATACCTAGCACTGCTGTTCCCATGAGTACATACATATATACACACTATGAACGACACGATACAGTAACATAAAGTCTATGCAAGCCTTTACCAGAGCATGACATTCATTCAATGATACTGTGAAGCAATGTAAGCCTTCACCTAATAGCTTCGGTCAATTACAGCCGCATGTCACCAATTGCCACCGATCATCACATCCCATGAGCCGCCAAAGCCACAACTTTACCGACCATCTCCCCAAACCTATCCTTGTTTTCCTCACAGCTTAGTTCTAGTTTCTGAGACCAAAGACACTAACGGCCCGTTTACCCCAAGGCGGATACTCCGAAGGTGGTCACAAAGTGAGCGATTGAACTTTTCTTGCTGCCAATGATCTTATTTGGATTTACCCTGCCGCTGAGTTTGATGGCCAACGGAAAGCGTCGGATGACCAATTGGTGCCGCCACGTTTGGGGGACGGGATCTCGGTGGGTGATGGTTTGTTGGTGCTTTTTGACGTCATGCAGTTTTTGAGTGTTCGATGGAAGCATGGGAGAAGCTTGGATGGGATGGTAAAGAACAATACGGCTTTCTCTTTTTCATCAATTGCTCCTTTAGAGACATTTGAATGAGTTAATTATCTGTGTCGAGGGTAACTTGGTGAGACGAGGGAGTTTTATAACATAACCATGTCGTACGTCCATACGCTGTCCACACATGAAATCCCGTGTCATACATCAGCTTCCAAATAAGCATCATTATTTTAAAGAATAGGTGCATACAATAGCGCGTGCGGGGGCTGAACTAGCGCTGAAGGCGTTGGAGATGCTGTGGAGAAGCGTCGTGGGGGATTTGAATTGGCATCTGCATGTCTCACGTACCTCAATCCCTTATACTTGACTGAGATTCTCTCAAAAGCTGGTTTCAGAAGGGAGATCTTGAAGAAATCATGTTTAAACTGTAGACATAATACAAGTATATATATCTATTCTATATATAATTGTCAACAGGACCTTGCTTCATCTTGACCAGTCCTTGGCCCGAGTGACAACTCCAAAAGCCTCATACGACATACCAAGCCACCACACCCCAAACATCACAATAGTTTCCCCCGCAAACCGTCAACCACGGCACAAGCAAGTGCCAAGTTGGAGGGTGGACCAAAGACTTGGATTGGGCCATGATGATGCCAAGAGTCATATACTCTACTCTGCTTATATTGATGTAACCAACCTGTTCACCTATGTGATAGGTAGCGAATTCCATCATTTTATAAATATCACCGCGTAGTCCGGCGTCTTGTCGTTTTGTGCTAATCCCTCCTTGATGAGAGACAACTGCTGGGCATAAGATCAAAATGCCTTCACTCCAATCCCTCATAGCCGCCTTCTTGGCGACAACTCTCTCCGTCCATGTACACATAGTCAATGCCCTCTTCATCAATGGCTCTGTCATCGCCCCGTGCGACTCGCCCATATACTGCCATGGCGACATCCTCCGCGAAGTCGAGCTGGCTCATCCCTTTTCCGACTCCAAAACCTTTGTAGACATGTAAGCCCGTCAAGAAACTCATAAAATTCCATTCAAAAAGACCATTGGAAAGCTCACACGTAACACCAGGCCCGCAAAAAGACCCCTTTTAGAAATCCAAGCCGCCTTCAACAAGCTCAAAAAACCCCTAACAAACGACTCCTCCCTCCAAACATTCCTCTCAACCTACTTCGCCGACGCCGGCGGCGAACTCGTCGAAGTGCCCCGCGCCAGCCTCACCACCAACCCGACCTTCCTCTCCAAAATCAACGACACCGTCATCAGGCAGTTCGTCTCCAAAGTCATCGCCATCTGGCCCGACCTCACGCGCCGCTACTCCGGCAGCGCAGTGTCCAACTGCACTTCTTGCCCGAATAGCTTCATCCCTGTGAACCGCACGTTTGTCGTTGCGGGGGGACGCTTTCGGGAGCCGTATTATTGGGACTCGTATTGGATTATTGAGGGGTTGTTGAGGACGGGAGGGGCGTTTGTGGGTATTGCGAAGAATACGATTGAGAACTTTTGTGATTTTGTTGAGAGGTTTGGGTTTGTGCCGAATGGGGCGAGGTTGTATTATTTGAATCGTTCGCAACCGCCGCTCTTGTCGCGGATGGTTCAGATTTACATTCAACATACGAATGACACGAGCATCTTAAAGAGAGCTCTGCCACTGCTGGTGAAGGAGCACGAGTTTTGGACGAAGAACAGGACGGTCAATGTCGACATCGGCAATAAGACATATGTCCTGCAACAGTACGCCGTGGAAAACACGCAGCCGCGGCCAGAGTCCTTCCGCGAAGACTTCATCACTGCCAACAACCGCTCCTATTACGCTGCCTCGGGCATCATCTATCCAGAAACGAAACATCTAAACACTTCTCAGATGGAAGATTTATATGCAAATCTAGCTTCCGGCGCAGAGAGCGGCAACGACTACACCTCGCGATGGCTAGCCAACCCGGCCGACGCAATGAGAGACGTCTACTTCCCACTTCGATCTCTCAACAACAAGGAAATCGTCCCCGTCGATCTCAACTCCATCCTCTACGGCAACGAGCTGGCCATCTCTCGCTTCTATAGCCAGACCGGTAACAGAACAGCCGCCCGCACTTGGAGCGCCCTCGCTGCAAATCGCAGCGCTTCCATCCAGGCTGTCTTCTGGAACGAGACTCTCTTCAGCTACTTTGACTACAACCTCACCTCTTCATCTCAAAATATCTACGTGCCCCTAGACAAGGACGCTCTCGCCATTGATAGACGGACAGCTCCTTCCGGCAAGCAAGTCTTGTTCCACGTTGGCCAATTCTACCCCCTCTGGACAGGCGCCGCCCCAGACTATCTCAAGAACAATCCATTCGCAGTGAGCCGCATCTTCGACCGTGTATCAAGCTATCTAGATACTCGTCCCGGTGGTATTCCCGCCAGCAACGTCAACACAGGTCAACAATGGGACCAGCCCAACGTCTGGCCGCCACATATGCACATCCTCATGGAAAGCCTCAACAACGTCCCCGCAACATTCACCGCCCGCGATCCCGCGTATCAAGACGTCAAGCAGCTCGCCTTGCGACTCGGCCAACGGTATCTCGACTTTACCTTTTGCACGTGGCGTGCTACGGGCGGCTCCACGTCCGAGACGCCCAAGTTGCAAGGGCTGACGGATCAGGACGTCGGCATCATGTTTGAAAAGTACGATGATAATTCTACCAACGCTGCTGGAGGAGGAGGCGAGTATGAGGTTGTCGAAGGCTTTGGATGGACTAATGGTGTCTTGTTGTGGGCTGCGGATACGTTTGGGAACCGGCTCAGGAGACCGCAGTGCGGAAACATCACGGCAGGCCATCCGGCGCCTTCGTCGTCGTCTTCTAAGAGGAGTGCGGTGCAGCTAGACTTGTGGGATGCGAGCAGGATCAAGAAGTTTGGAAAGAGGGCTGAGGGGACGGTGAGGAGGTCGAATGCTTTCTGAGTCAAGAGCTGTATATCTTCTGATTATATCCCATTCGAGTCTGTAGTTATGTAAAATAAGCATATTAGTACAAGCAGTAACAGGAGCATTGTGTAGCTGACTGTTCAAATATCGCCTTTTTCATGATCAGTTTCTGCTCTGCGAATGCTAGGAAGACCAATCAAAAGTTTTGTATAGCCCCAGCTATCTTCAATGTCTCACGATAATTGTCAGATGGCGGCGTCTTCCATCAAAAGAATCTGACTATCTGCAATGTCCGACGGGATATACTCGATTGCCCAAAGTTCTCACCGAAGCTCCTGATTATCTACGACACGAAGTCGATAAGATCAAGATCCAGTATGAAGATTGGAAGGGCTATTCCACTCGGACCCGAGTGGCGAGAACTTTGCTCTCTAAGTGATATGCAGTCCCAAAATCCGTCTTGAGATTAATTGGTGACGGGGGTATTTGCGATCATAACATTTGCTTCCCACACCACAGCAAACATAGCCTTCCAGCTCCCAATCTCTGTGTAGATAAGTGAGCATTTAAAACACAATAGTAGAAGAACATAGTAGATATAATAACAAATGTTAGAAGAGAGAGGTATTGATAGTAGCAAACGCCTGAAGAATGTAGCGATAGTAGTATAAAGCAGCGATAGCAGCAGATACTCGAGGAACCGGGTATCTACTACCTAGATGAGCATCTACAGTTGTAAATTAAAAGCTTTCCTTCGCATGCTGCCCCGAAACTTGAACCTCACCCAGTCGTTAGGCTACTGATTAGCCAATTCGGGGTGCTGAATAGCAAACATTGAACATTTTGTTTTGCGCATGGTGTAAGCTCACATGGCCTCATGGACTGCGCATGTAGGAAAGAGTGTCGTTGGTTTGCTCCAGAGATGAGAGTAAGAGAGGTATGTATGAAGAAAAGATTTGTTGAATAGATAACTAGGTAAGGAAATATCGTGTCATCATGTCTGTTTTCATCGGCATCCATATCTGTCATTTTTTAAGCATCCATCCGTCGACCCAATAAGCTCGTGTGCCATTCGTCCACCACATTAATTTAAAACCCTCGTCACGTCGTAGAAACCCCCAATACGTCTTCCTCCACATGGTTCATAAGGAAAAGATGAAAAGAAGGAAACCCATACTCTCTCAAGCCAAGTAAATATAATCTCAGTTGTGTAACAACGTCTGTTACATCTGGTCGCTGTCCATATCCGTCTCTGCCGTTGGTTGATCTTTAAAATATAGCCACTCCTCAAATCCCTCAATGCTCTCGAACTGTGGGAAGCTCTCTTGCACCTCCCCGGCCTTGTCAGGATACAGCACCGTCATGGTACGTATGCTTTCTTGCTCATTAGCGGGCAGTCGCCGTCTCATGTAGCAGAAATAAACGTAGAGGACCTGGCAGAGCTGCCTGAGGCGGCTCATTGTATTACCGTCTCTACCATCATTAAGTTGCGATTCAGGCTCGGGTGTCGTGGAAGGGGATACACGTTCCCAATGGTAAGTCCACATGATTAAGCGGCGGCGGAGAGACATGAGTGTGCGGCCGACTTCAAGAACTAGTTCATGGCAGATGCTAGGGTTGGCAAGGGCCTTTTTGAGCTGATCGTAGAATTCGAGCTCTAGCTTACGCCCTATTATTCGTGACAATTGGGCTGCAGCGATGATAACTTGTCTTTGCTGTCCATCATCTGGGGCAAGGGTTGTCCCAAATTCATCGCCTATCGGCCCGTAGAGGTCATGAGACTTTGGCTTTAGAGTGTATGTGGCCCACGGAGCCATGTCATCCAGCGCAAGGAGCACATCGCACAGGGTGTCTCTATTCAACGGTTGACCGTAGCCATCCCTAATGCATGTCTTCCACGTATCTTGTCTTTGAACCTTGAGTCCATTGATGAACTGTCGGAATGGATGGGGTATAGGGGAGCAGCTGGAGTTGATGTATACCCAACAGGCGCGGATGTCAAGCTCGTAGAGTATTCCCTGTCTTCCGTATACGCGGATGCTGTCGTAATTTTTTCGCAGTTCGTCCAAGATGTGGAGTAGGTGTCTTATATTTATCTCTGAAGGTAACTCGATTGGTTGACGGAAGCCGTGGGCGGAAAGAGGATAAATCATGTGGAGAGCTATCAAAAGGGCCTCTCGTTAGTAAAAGCTGGAATTTTATTCCTGTATATGATGCTTCTTACCAAGTAAAACGGTGCTGCCTTGTTGAACAAGTTCAAAGAAACTCGCAGGAGCACATACAAATGGCTTAGGGGCACTACTACTGCTACTGGAGCACCGCAAGCAGTCCTTCCCATCTTCTCGACCCTCACACTGGCAAGAAACCACGTTAGTCATACACTGTATAACGGAGTAGGCAAGTGGGTTAAGTGGGTGGGTATGTAGAGAGATCAACAGGAGCCAAGGGTCTGAGATGGCTCCGAGGCGTTCACTTGATTCATGACTTACAATGACTTTGGCCATCTTACAGCCAATGCATACGGTCCGCTCGTTTCTCCTTCTGGTTGCGAGCTGCCGCCCCCCTTCACGCAAAGGCCCAGTGCGTTTCCCGCGAGGCTTCTTTGGAATTGGCTTTCCACTAGTCATACTTACACCACCTCTATCAGCCACCCCATGTGGTGGAGATCTGGGAAGTAAAGGGACTTGTCCATTTGACGGACGCCTCTTTGATATTCCGGCATTCTGGGACCGATCCTGGGTATGGGCTCCACGGTTTCCATAGGGATAGAGATCCGGATCTAATGGACGATGGGGCCGTGTCATACTTGCAGTCCGAGGACGTTTGCCTTTACCTTTACCCCGAGAGAGAGTACTGGAGTTAGTCTCCGATGAGGGATAACCAGTGCTTGGATCGACACTTGGCGATGGTTGCCAAACACCGGGTTGAGAGGAAAATCCAGCACTTCCAATGGCCTGGATATATGTCTGAGGCTTGGCGTCATGCATCAAGTGGTTTGATTTTCCATAAACGCCTTCCTGAGTATATTCTGGAATGTCCAGCATGGACATATTAGTCACTGCATCCTTCCTATCGGTAGGATCGGACATAGTGACTGAGAGAGCGTCCTCTTGAGAGGAATAGCTAGAATTGGCGCTTGGGCTGGGCTGGCTGTAGCTAACGGCATGATGTAGCTGCCCTGGAGAGAGGGAAGGCTGTGCGACTGGGATACTTGACAAACCATCGGCTACAAACGTCTGCGATGATCCAGGCAAGGAAAGAGAATCTGAAAGATAATTTTCTGGATAAAAAGGTGCAGGTTTCTTGTCAGGATACGGGACATCACGGTGAAGTTCTCGACCCGTGTGCTCATGGCCTTGTGGGGGTCCATATCGTGCCAATATGTGTGTTTCTGTTCCATGTTGCGGCCGATGGCTGCGACCGAGGCTGGACCCTTGACGAGAGGAGCTGAAAGCCCGGTCATCGTTATTGGCTGCACAGGGCTGCTGTCGAGGCCAATCAGAAGAAGAGTCAACTGGGGTAGAAACACCAAGAAAAGAGGAGTTCAATGCGGGCTGCGGGCTGCGCACATTGTTGCTCAGAAGAGAATTATGAATAGCAACAGGAAGAATTGGTTTAACAACTTCGGACGACCTGGTGCCGCCGGATGTCGCATAATATTTGTGCGTGTCGTCGGCCTCGGCTGCGAAAGAGCTACGGTTGAAAGTGAGTTAGCCGTGGCAATAATAGGATGCATACCGATAACATCAAATCGCCACCAACTAGTCAGTGCTTACCCATAAGAAATGTCGTTCGGGGCCGCTTCAAACATGTTGCTTCCTCCAGTGTAAGATGTAAGAAGATGCGACTGTAAATCCACGACCATATCTTGGTGAAAAGATTGTGGGAAGGCCATGGCTACTTCAAGCTCTTTAGCTTTCTTATCGAGAATAGAAGCGAGAGGAAAGGAGATAGAACGGGAGAGAAGAAGGGTTTAACTACTCCGTTGGAGCGTTGGAGTAGTAAAAAGGTCGAGGGCGTGTATCCACACAAACCCATGCTGCCCATGTTGCCAGAGCCTCGCCATCTGCTATTAGTGTGGACGAATGGTGCCCAGTATGTTGCCTGACTGCCTTTCGGTGAACCAGTACCGCGCGCCTTAATTCCCTTTGCATCTCCATCGCTACCTGCATGGTCCTCAAGGTCCCCCGTACACCTACTATACACTCCCATCAGGACCACCACCTCCACCCAGAGGCTCTGCGAGATGACATGGACAGGCAAATGCCAGGGCAAAATGCAGGTCCCTTCTGACGAAAGCCATTGATGCTGTTTGAGTGTTTCCACTGAATTGCGACGATACAGAAATAGCCAACAGCTACGGGAGGCCCGAGAAGTAGTATCACTGCTGTCAGTCTCTGTTTCGTCCAATATCGCACATGCGGCTCTGCGCGCGGTTCCGCAAGTTTCCTGCGTCTCTGACTGGTTAGATTCCGACAGCCCAACCTATGTACGCCGCACCCGCCCACAGCACCAAGGCGCAACCAGGCGTCGAAGCTTAATTGCGCAGCTTTCCACTCTCCTAATTCTTTCATTAATTGAAGAGACCCCTGGGTGTGTTTTTTGCTTTGATATCGGATCCCTGTAGAGCGCCTACCGCTGCGCTTTTAGTCCTTGTGGGCTGCCTTGTTTCGCCTTTTTTTTCCTTTGCGCGGGGTGTGGTGTCGCGTATCGTTGCCCGCCCGGTACTCTGCAGGGGGGAAAGCTTTGCCGGGTCCGAGGCGCAACCCAAGAATCGCAGTCAATGGGATGCCACGTCTTTGATGTTGTTATATTGCTTGCTAGATGGCTTAGCCACCGCTGTAAGATAGACATGGAGCCGATGCACATCCCGAATAGCGGTGGGAGAAGAGAAAAACCATGATAGTCATAAACTGCCTTGAGAGGTACTTCGAAAAGGTAATGATGTCCATTGCTGACCTAGGTACCATCTCGATTAACCTGTGTAAGTGCGTTGGCATGCAGGAATGCCTATGCTTGCGGCGCAATCAGTGAGCTGAAGGTGTGGCACCGGCCGGAGGGGCGCGTAATGGCCCATTTTCGACTGTCCACTCTCTGACGGGGGAGCTTGCATCCCCGCCAGAAGTCTCATCACAAGGCTGTGAGCTGCAGCAGCTTCGGTCGCCACCGGCGGTTCATGAAGGGACGGAGCACGGAAGACGAGTGGGCTCCTTGCATTGGACCAAAAACGACATCTGTTAGCCGAGACTTATAACTAACATTACGTACCAAGCCGTGCATACCGTAATCGCTGGTGATGATTGGGTGGCGTTGGTGATGTGAGCAAAAAAAAGGAGGGGGGATGGTTGAGGGCATCCCCAAAACTCTTGGCTTTGCGGAAACAAACTCCTTCTCGCGTGTAAGAGGTGTCAAATACGGCCCGGCTACACACATTGACAGAAAATTGAATGATTCAGGTGATCAAAGGCTGAATATTTTTGGTGCATGAACAGGAGGAATTGGCATCGGCACGGCCGAAGTTGTAAATGCCTCGCGGTTGTATGGATTGCGCCATGACTCGATTGTGTCAAGGATGGTCGTTTGTCGGGAAGCAACCGAGGCTATTCCAGACGATGTGCATCAACCTTGTCTGTCATGTCTTTTCCCCCGTAGTTTGACATCCCAAAGTAGGTAGTCGCTGTCAGTTTAGAAGTTGGTATAAGTCGACGGATCACCACGGGAGGTGGAGAGCCCGGGGTCGGGGGCGGGAATCGTGGGTCCGGGTCGTTTAGTCCGACCAAGCTGAGAGCGACGAGCCGAAGCGGGTGCCGAGTTGAAAGAGAAAACTTCCATTCATGGAAACTTTCTATGATGGATAAGCGGATCGAAGGATCTTCTCCTTCTCAGCTGGTCAAGGGTTGCCGCCAAGTTCTTTTGTTCTTTTGTTCCGTGCCTCGCCAACGGTTTCTCCAAACTGAGCTTAGCAGGCTCGCTCCAACAGCCGGGAAGAAGATGGATGCGACATTTTGGGAGCATCTCGACGCCTAAACGGTCATTTGTAAAAGTTGCCGAGTCGAAATTGTGTCGTTTTGTCAATTAATAACGTCATTGTCGTGTTGCAACGGCTCGTCGGTGAATCCAAAATAGTATAGCATAGGTGTGGACAAGACGAAAAGAGTTGGGGGCCAGACTATAAAGGCAGTTCCGCCATGAGCATTAGTCCTTTGCAGTCTATACCGCGGGGGCATGTGTGTGCTGTGGTGAGAAGTCATTGCTATTATACAAAAGTTGCTCGGGCCCAGAACTTGGCAATGACTCGAGCCATCTCGACATTTGACCATGGCCTCCCAGGTCACCAGGCATCCCACCGGTGAAGCTGCTACAACCATAGCATTCACAGCAATTCTATAAGAGTCTTTCACCCTCCATGGTGTCCATACGTACCTCGTCTCCAAGCCAGGGACAAGTCCAGACAAGTTGATTCTCCTCTGAGATGCTCTGAAAGCACTGGCAGCCTAAAATTTCACAATCCCATTGGACGAACGAAATGCCTTTCGACTGGTCTTCTTGTTAAAAGAGATCCCCAGAGAGGCTGTGGCGTTGAAGGTGGGCTGGTGTTGGTGGCGCGTCCCGCTGTCGGCTACGTATCATTTCGCAGGGATATGTGGATGCATCGCTGCGCCTCAACCTGAGATGTAAAGCTGCCCAGAGAGACGAGAGGACAAAGGCATTGCGCCTCTGAATGCGACTGCGCCAGGCGAGGCTAAAGATGAATGAAGTGGCTGCTCGTGATGGATGTTTCTTGCAAGTTGTTTGCGAGTAGGAGGTAGTTGGAAGTTGAGATGAGGTGGTCAAAGTTGGTACCTCAGGCGTTGAAATTTGATACGTCCATGTCAGTGGTGCTCCCATCAAACCGCCGTGTTGGATGCATCCTCAAGGAGAATTTCCATGTACCCGCCCAAGTATTAAATGTCCCGAGGGCGGTACCCCGTAATCTGTAAGGTACGGATCAGAGTCCGTGTGTCTGGCCTGATGAATCTCTCTTCGGTTAGTACTGTCTACCAGGCCGCTACTTTGTAGGTAGACTGTATGCAACATGACTCTTAGTCTTTGATACAATGATGCACGGCCCTATTTTTGCCTACTGGGCTAGTACCTCGCAGTAATAAGGGAGCAGTAAAGCTATAGCGGTGTAATACTGCGGAGTAAGTAGATAAGGTACCTGTATCTTACATGTTGGACACTGCAGAAGGCAATGTACTACCCTACCTCTAGGCAAGCAGGATCAGGCGATTTGCGCATATCATGGCTACGACATCTCGCATGAAATCCTCCTCGCTTGATGACTCTTGAGCGAAAATCAAGAAAACGAAACAGAAAAAAAAGTCACTCTACAGCTCTTACGGCTAGGCTGTTCAACACACCAAATGCGAGCAATACGGCGGTTGGCTGTGCCCCCTGCAGCAGGATCGCCCTAATCCGTAGCGCTACTTATATGCCGCTGGAATTGGACGGATTGGGCTCTATGGCGCGATCGGCCGCTTTAGAGGCATTTTGCCCCAAGCCATGCCATCATCAATGAGGGGATTTGTGAGACGGTCTATGATGGGAGGTGCTCACGATGGCGGAAATGGCCATGATGCCGGCCTTGGTTAGAGCTTCTAGAACAAAGTATAAGTAGAGCTGAATTCACCTGGAGGATGAGCAGACAATTCAACAAGTCTCAGATGCTTTGAGCGGCTTCTATATTCTTAATACTATTACTACTACAACGTGATAAACACCAGAAAAGCCAACATGGTCTTTGGAAGAGATAAAGAGCCCAAGCAGCAGGAGACTGCGGAGATTCCCGATCATCTCACTGACTTGCACTGCTTTACCGAAACTGAAGGCGTTGTCACAACCAGTAAGCCACCGATGTGATGAATAAGCCTTGTCATTGTGTGTTGCAATTTAAGAAAAGAGGCAAGGGATTGCTAACGACATTTTTTTGTCTACTTTGTCTTTAGCCATGATGGATCTCCCTGGTTACCGCATCGAGCAAGTCCTCGGCACAGTCTACGGCATTACAGTGCGGTCGCGTAACATTGGCGCCAGCCTGGGCATGGTCATGAAGAGCATGGCTGGCGGAGAGCTTCGCTGGTTCACATCCATGCTGTACTCGTGCCGCAACGACTCCATCAGCAGAGTGGTGGAGGAGTGCAAGAAGCGGGGAGGAAACGCCATCATCTGCCTGAGGTTCGATGCCGGTGATATGGGCGGCTTTGCCCAGACAGCAGCGTATGGAACAGCGTGTCGGGTGGTCAAGATTGACGATCCAAGCGTCCATGTCCCCCCTCAGCTGCAGGGCATGACACAGTAGCTGGAGCGGGTAAGAATCCGGCGCTAGGAGAGGCTGATGGCGGACGAATCATGGCCATCTGGGGCTTGATTGTGAGTTGTGAGTTGTGAATTCTGAGCATCAAGGCTGCGGTAGCTGAGGAGGGTGGTGTGTACAGCAACCAATGTTGATGCTTCTATTCATGGCGATTTGGAGAAGCTGAATGATTGGAGGATGATACTATAAGACTTGATAGGTTGCTTGTCTCGTGGTATCTGTCTGCCTCATTGGTTCATGTATTTTAGGTCTCTTACTTATTCTGTATTCATTCTGCTCTGTTGATTGAGATAGCCTTACTCTTACACCCCATATGTGCCTTGTATGATCCGCGGCCAACACACAGATAGGCATCTTTGACCGAAAAAAAAAAAAAAATATGCCGTACATACAGACATACAGAGGAGAGAGAGGCAGCTTACAGCTAAACAGGCCAAGCAGCCGCAAAAGTGTCTTGGGCGTCCTCGTATAAGCCGTTGGCAGCATCGAGACTCCACTTCGGGCGGCGATCCATCGTGCGGAGCCGCTAAGATATGGCAAATGGCAGCTCGAGGCGTAAGGCGATGCAATTTGGACGCCTTGTTTTGCAGTGCTGATTGCCCAGGTGCTGATTTGTTGGCACTGCATCTGTCAGATTGAGCTCCATATCTAATGGAGCATGTATAACTGCGTGGATACAGGCAGAATGAGACTGAGGCTGAAAAGCGCACATCTTTAGTACTGGACAGCATAATCGGGTACACAGCTTATGTACCCTGATAGGCTGCTTATCGCCCAGATGACCAATCAAGCAGCTCCAGCGCTTGCTTTACAGAGGCGACAATAAGCGTCGAACCTCTGAATAGCTACAACAACACCAACAGCAACACCGGCTATTGACCGTCTTTTTGTCATTGCGCCCTCTGAATCACTCGCCGCATCTCAATCTCGATCGATCGTTATTCGCAGGCTTACGATGCTGCGTGATCCAAGGCGTTATTCCATCTAACTGAGACGAGTACACGCAAGTAATCCCCCTGAGGACCGCAGCCCCCTGCGAGAGCTTCGTCTCCAGCATGGCGCCCGAGCGATCCCCGTCGATGGATTCCCTCTCGTCCGTCTCGACGACCAGCATCGTCTTCGACCGAATACAGGAAGAGATGGAGAAGGGAAAAGTGCCGCGAAAGGCCCGCGCCAGGCTTGGATACACCGACGTGTACGCTGAGGATCCCCTCAAGGAAGAAGCCTCCGACGACGCCGAGACCGAGGCCTTCCTGGGCTCAACCGGCGCGGGTCTGCAGCGCCGGCCAATGGACAGGAAACTTCGCCGAATTCTCTGGATCGGCGCCCTCATCTTCGTTGCTGCCTGGATTGCGTCTCTCGTCGTCTTCGTTTCTAACGGATCGTACAAGCACGCAAGCGATGTGGAACACGACCCAGACGCCGACTCTCGAGGCTCCGGCAAGCCAGTCACCTTGGAGCAGCTGTACGATCGCTACTGGTCGGCCAAGCAGAAGTCCATCAGCTGGATTGCAGGTCCTAATGGCGAAGACGGCCTGTTACTGGAGCGTGGAGCAGATGGCAAGGATTATCTCGTCGTCGAGGATGTTCGGTCAGCTGTAGGAAACGAAACCGCTGCCGCTTTGGCAGAAGATGCGGATTCTCAGGTGGCCAAGTCTCGTACCCTCATGAAGAACGCCGATTTCGTATACGATGGCCAGACATATGCGCCCCAATGGCTGGAACCTAGCCCAGACCAGACAAAGGTCTTGATTGGTGTTTCTCGGGAGTCAGTCTGGAGACATTCTTTTACGGCCATCTACTTTGTTTTCGACGTCGAGACGCAAACCGCCCAGCCACTCATCCCATCAGATGCGCAAGCTCGAGTTCAGCTCGCAGGCTGGAGCCCCAGGAGTGACTCGGTATCCTTTACCAGGGATAACAATCTCTATATCCGTCGCCTCACCGGCGACAATGAAATCACCCAGATCACCAAAGATGGCGGCCCAGAGTACTTTTATGGCATCCCCGATTGGGTGTATGAAGAGGAGGTGTTTAGTGGGAACTCTGCAACCTGGTGGTCTGAAGACGGACAGTATCTGGCCTTCCTCCGAACCAACGAGACTGGCGTTCCCGAGTACCCTGTGCAGTTCTTCATCTCGCGCCCGAGTGGTCACCCTCCTCCCAGTGGCGAGGAATCCTACCCTGAGGTCCAGCAAATCAAGTATCCCAAAGCCGGAGCGCACAACCCTGTTGTAGACCTCCAGTTCTACGATGTTGCCCACGGCGATGTGTTCTCGGTCACAACTGGCGACGAGTTTCCTGACGACGATCGCATCATCAATAGTCTCATCTGGGCCGGTGACAATGTTCTCGTTAAGCAAACCAATCGCATCAGCGATCATCTCAAAGTGATCCTCATCGATGTCGGTAAGCGCGAGGGCAAAACCATCAACAGCATCGATGTCGACAAGATTGACGGTGGCTGGTTCGAGATCTCTCACTCCATGACCTATGTCCCCGCAGACCCCGAGAATGGGCGACCAGAGGATGGATATGTAGATACCGTCATCCACGACGGTTATGAGCATATCGGATACTTTACGCCGCTGAACAATTCTGAGCCTATCATGCTCACCTCTGGAGAGTGGGAAGTAGATGAAGCTCCCTCGGCTGTTGATCTGGTCAACAATCTCGTATACTTTGTAGCCACCAAAGAGTCTTCTATCCAGCGCCACGTGTACTCTGTGAAGCTTGACGGCTCTGATTTGCAGCCTTTCACAGACATTTCCGCCGAGGCTTACTACAGGGCCTCCTTTTCGTCAGGAGCTGGCTACGCTTTACTCACCTACCGCGGGCCCAAGATCCCTTACCAGAAAGTCGTGTCTACCCCGTCCAACAGCATCTCTTACGACGTTGTTGTCGAAGACAACGCCGAGCTCGCGGACCGTGCCAAGAGGCACGAGCTCCCGGTTCTGAAATATGGAACGCTTGATCTCGGTGATGGAATCGTCGTCAACTACCTCGAACGTCGTCCCCCGCACTTCGACCCTAAGAAGAAGTACCCCATTCTCTTCCAGCAGTACTCTGGACCTGGCTCTCAGCAAGTCACCAAGGCGTTCGGCGTCGATTTCCAGGCCTACGTCGCCTCCAACCTCGGCTACCTGGTCATCACCGTAGACCCCAGAGGCACGGGCTTCCTTGGCCGCAAACACAGAGTCCCAGTCCGCTCGCAGCTGGGTGTTCTCGAAGCACAGGACCACATCGCTGCCGCCCGCCACTTCGCTTCGCTCGACTACGTTGATGAGACGCGTCTCGCCATCTGGGGCTGGTCATACGGCGGATTCACCACGCTAAAGACGCTCGAGCAGGACGCTGGCCGGACATTCTCCTATGGTATGGCCGTGGCGCCCGTCACCGATTGGCGCTTCTACGATAGTATCTACACGGAGCGGTACATGCGCACACCCCAGGACAACGATAAGGGATACTCCCTCTCCAAGGTGTCCAACGCAACGGCCCTTGGCGAGAACAAGCGCTTCTTGCTCATGCATGGTGTTGCGGACGACAACGTGCACTTTCAGAACTCGCTCACGCTCCTGGATAGCCTGGATTTGGCCGGCGTGGAAAACTACGATGTGCATGTTTTCCCTGATAGCGACCATGGTATTTACTTTCATGGCGCAAACCGCATTGTATATGACAGTATGTTGTTCTCCTGCTCCCCCTTGCACAACTCCCCTGTTCCTGTCTCCCACTACTTTATATCTGGACATGGCTAATGATTCAATTTTAGAGCTGAATAACTGGCTTATCAACGCCTTTAACGGAGAGTGGCTCAAGATCTCGCATCCTAAGCCCAACGGCAAGAAGGTGTAGATTTTGTTTTTTGTTGTTTGTATTTTCGGGCATGGCGTATGTAGCAGCAGCCTTCTTGGATATGGCATAATAGAAATTGTTTTAAATAAATCACTCTGAGATTGATACTTGAGGAGACATCTGTGACTGCGTGTGAGAAGCAATAGCCCACGAATATAGCAAGATATCTTCGTGATATAGTGCGTCTACTAGTATCTCTAGGTATATCCCAAAGCAACCGCTTCGTAATAGAACCTTATTACACAACTCCTCAACTTACACCATCACATATAAATGCAATCAAGAATCATCTCAGACATCGCAAAAATAAAAAAGTAACAAAAAATGAATTGCCTATCATACACATTTCGCACCCTCGCAAATTTCATTTCTGCGTCACTCCCCCCAAAAAGCTAAAAGGATTTTTTCTCCTCCATTCTAACTGCAAAGGAAATAGTGAAAAAACAAAAAGAGAGCTCGTGATTAACGAGACTCTGAGCCCAAGATCCTTCGCCTCCTCCAGACCATGATCCTTTTTCTTTATCTCTAACCATCATGATTCTTGATGAAGGAGTGTAAAAAAAAAGATGCTCACATATCATCAATCCTATATCGCCCTTCCAACTATCCATATCTCTCGCTCGAACAACAGCTAGCTATGCCGTAGCGGAAAATAATGATTACGCATTACATTTTAAGGAATAAACGTGCTGCGTCTCGACCCAGCACCACACTGGCACACGCATCTAGTAATTGTAGCCAGTAGGTTGTGGCGCAAAGCCATTAGGTTGGCCATAAGGAGCTGGAGGAGCGGCTCCACCTGGGCCGGCGGTGATCATGAGTCGAGCGCCACCAAGGATGGGCGTGTTATCCTCAGTCTTCTCGTGGTCCTTTTCCTTGGACTTGCGTGCCTCGTTGTCAGCCTTGAGCAGTGCAAGCTCCTTTGTCTGCTGAGCCAACATGTTGATCATGTAAGGCATGGTGAAGTCGTTGAGGCCGTTGCGCCATGAGAGCTCAAGGACCAGATCGGGTCGAATGAGGTCATTGCAGGCATACAGCATGCCAGTGTAGCATTCGCGATGACCAATGTCAACAAACTAAATATACACGTTAGTCATTGTCAAGTTAAGCACACATATTTTGGAGAGCAACATACATATCTGAGAAGGTCGTCGACAATATCGTTCTTTGCTGAAATGGCAGCGGTCTCGATGGCATCCTTGTAGAGCTTGTCCTGCTTCGACAGGGCAATGGACTTTTCCCAGCGCTTGTTCTTGCGGTAGATGCTGGCGGCAATTTGGCGGAAGAAGATGAGATCGTGCTTCTCCAGACGACCAGCCAGCTCCATGGCATCGTAGTTGTCGTAGTTCTGCACAGAGTCACGCAGGGTCTTGTAGTCTTCCTCTTCAATCAGCAGGTCGTTGACTGCTTCGTTGACGATTCGCTTGTTCTGGCTCTGCACGTTCAAGAGGAACGGCTTGATCAGTGGCAGACTGTCATTCTTCTGGAACATCTTGACAACGCGGTTCACGTCAACACGGGCAGTAAGAGCAGCCAAGAGATCAGTGAGCAGAGACGGATGCTGCTCAACGTAGAATCGGATGGCACGGTAGTAGATCTCCAAGTTGGCAACCTTGACCACAATCTCCTTGAACTGCTGGTGATCCCATGAGTTCTCGGGTCGCTCGATAACGGTAAGAGCAGCGTTATCAAACTCATCGTAGTGGTAGTAACAGAAAACCAATTCAGGCCACAGATTAGCCTCCTCGCACGCTCGGATCATCTTGGGCATGTTGACTCTGGACCAGAAGATCTTGATGTGCTCCATAAGACGCTCGGGGTGGTACTTGGACAGGGCAATACCCAGCTCGGTGAACATGCCCATGTGGGCACGCTCAAGACCCAGGCCCTGCTCAAGGAGGCTGATGAGCTCATCAAAGTATCCGTTGTTCTCGTAGTCCTTGACAAGTTCTTGGAGTTGCTCGGCATCGACAATCAAGTTGAGACCGCAAATCTGGGCAAGTCTGAATTCCTTCTTGGTAACGCAAGCTTCGTGGACCTGCTTCCACACCTTGATGTTGTTGGCCTTGCGAGCGCACTCGACAGCGGCCTGGTAGTCGCTGAGATGCACAAGGGTGGTGGCCAGCTTGGCCCAGTTGGAGATGCTGCTGTAGAAGATCTTGGATGCCTCGTACAGGCCCTCTTCATAGGCCTTGTCACCAGACTCCTCAATGTTGGCGACATTGGTTCCGCGCAGGAAGTCCTCTAGCTCGGAAAGCTGTTCGAGTCTTGCGTAGCAGAAGGCAAGAGCCGTGTCAATGACTGGCTCCCGAAGAGTCTTGCGAGCCATACGGAGATACTTGACGAGGTCCTCATTCTTTCCAGCATGCGTGGCGATCTCAATCACCTCAGCGTAGTTAGAGGGGTCCTCAGCCTTGATGTATGATTCGATACCGTCGGAAACACGAAGACCATCCAACTGAGCCTTTGCAACCTTGCTCCAGACCTCGGGAAGATCAACATCTTCAGCGTATGCCTGAGCACGGTCAATGCTGACAACATGCTCAACGAGGACATTGACAGCGGCAGACTTGTTATCAGCCTTCTTGTAAATCTCAAAGGCTTCTTCAAAGAGACCGACATCGATACAGGCAGTCGCAATTTCGTCAGCATTGTAGTTGTCCAACTTGTGAACATAGTCCATCACACGGGCCTTGTCAGCCTTGGCAGCAGTGAACATGAGCAAGTTCTGCAAGTTCTGGTTGTCGCTGAACGGAGAAGGCTCAAGAACAATCTTCTCCAAAAGTTCAATAAGCTCCAGAGGCAGGTCATTCTCCAAGAAGCAGGAAACGGCAACAGACACCTTGGCGGGATCGGTGGACTCGGGAACAGCAGTTGCGGTGACCTGGTCGACAACTGATCGCCTGTGGATGTTGTTTTCGCTGAGGACAAAGCGCCAGAGCTCGGTATCCTCTCTCTCGAGCAGGTATCGAGCCTGAGCCCTGTACATGGAGTTCTCATTGGTGATGTTGACAAGCTCAAGATCGTTCTGGCCCTTGGAATAGGCAATGTATGCCAGGTTGGGATCGCGCTTCTCGCAGTATTTACCGACGACAAGGGTGTCGTATTGATCGTTCTCCTTGAGGAACTTCTCGGGGTTGTTGTTGGAGTCAATGTAGATCTTAGCCAGAGCGTTGTAGACAGCCTGCTGTTGGTTACCAGCCTGGAGAGTGGCCTCGAGGAAGGGCAGCAGAAGCTTCAAGCGGTTACGAGACTCAACCTCGGAGACAAGCTGGTCGATGTTGACCTGCTGGGCATCGACAGTGGCGAGAAGGTCCTTAATAATCTTCTCGTCGCAGTCAACGTCGAGCAATCCTCCGATGACGGCAGGAGTTCGGGATGGGTTGACACGCTGGACATAGGCCTCGATGGCCTGGAACTGCTGGTTCTGGTAGAGGAACAGAATCAAGTCATGCACAAAGTTGAAACGGTCGCACACAATGATGAGAGGCAGCTGCTCGGGCAGCTTAGCTTCCTTCAAGAAGTTCTTGACCTTCTCAGGGTTGTAGTGAGTGCTGTCACGGCAGATGCGTTCCACCTCGTTAAACTGGCCCATCTTGGTAGCAGCCTCGATGTACTTGAAGTGGACATCAGGGTCCTCGGAGAGGTTGACAATGCTGCCGAGGTAATAGAAGAGACCTTCGGCAGTCTTGTACTTCTCAAAGAGATCAATCAAGCGCACAGCACCGAGGAGCTCCGAGTACTTTGTGGCAATGTTGACAACGGACTGCAAGTTCTGGCGAATGTTGTGCTTCATCATGGCATCGAGACAGTCCAGAGACTGCTCAACAGAGAGCTTGCCAAAGAAGGTAGACAGCCACTCAGGGTTGAAGTTGGCACTGCCAGGAATGTTGACAATGACACGCTTGATGGCCTCGGGATCTTCATACAGCTCGAGAGCCTTCTGGGCCAAGCCAGCCTGTTCGCACAGTTGGGCGATTCGACCCTTGTCAAAGTGTGTGAACATGTCGTTACCGAGGATAGCGTCAGCCACCTGAGGAGCGTGCATCAGGTTCATCTCCAGAAGGCGAGTCTGGAGACGAGCATGCTCAGGCTTGTTCTCCTTGAGAGCATCGAGGAGGAAGGCAGTGGCTTGCTGGACCATACCCTGAGACTGGAAGATATCGCAGACTCGCTCGAGGTCAACCAGAGCGCCGCCCTCGTGGTTGGCGAGAGCAGTGGCAAACTCAGTTCCCTTGTCGGGGTTGGTTCGAATGATGTGCTGGAGAAGCTGAATATAATCGGGCTGGTATCCGGATTGAGCAGCATACGGAAGAATCTTTTCAAACTGGCCAGTCTCGGCAAGGCCAGCAACGGCCTTGTGGTGGACCTTGGCCTGGAGGTAGATGCTCAGGGCCAAGTTGACATCGTACGGGCGCACCATGTCACCGAGCTGCTCGGAGCAGTCCAGCTTGCCCTCCTTGAACCACTTTTCGAGGAGGTGTTTTCGGTTTTGCTGCAGCACAGGCTGGGCCAGCTCGAGTGTTTCATGCATGTTCAGCGCGCCCTTGTCGAGCAGCATTCCGAAGTACTGCAGTGTAATAGCCATCTGCCCAGGCTGGGTGGGGAGGCGCTTGAATTTCTCGATCGTGTCGGCCGTACGCAAGAATCCGCGGGGTGAGCCGGCAGCAACCTTGGCAGCCTCGAGGTAGTTTCCGCTGTTGAAGAGCTGATCGAACTGCTTCGCGTAAAGGTTATCAGCACCAGGAAGGCCAGCTCTTGAGGCCAGCTTGATGGCAATCTCTGTGTTGGCGGGATTCTCGAGCAAGTAGGGGATGATGGTGGTATCATCGATGGTGACGAAGAGGACCTGACCCTTGCGGTTGATACCCACAAGGCCAGAAGACTCATCGTCAGCGCAGCTGGTGAAGATGGTCTCGCTAGAGATGCGGTTGATGAAGATTGACGAGCCCGTCTCGAGATCGTACAAGTGGATGAAGCCGTACTTGGTGACCATGAAGATGACACCGTACTTTTGTGAGACTTGTAAAGCGACTGGGAAGTCGTTTGTGGCCTCGGGGGGGAAGAAGATATCGACAGCCTTCTTCTGGAAAACTGGGTTCGAATCTGGGTGGTCAACCTCGACAATGTGCAGCTTGGCGCCGGTGGCTGTGCGGACAGCAAAGCTGAAGATTTTGGTGTCCTGAGGAGCACCGTCCAGTCTCAAGGTGCCGAAGCCAGCAGCGTGACCTTCAATGGCCTGACTAATGCCACGGTCTTTGGAGTAGAGCTGCATGGCACCAACCACTCGGCCCTGCTGAGAGGAGATTCCCACGACCACCATCCACTTTCCATCGCTGTTAACTCGGTAGTTGATGATTTGGCAACCCTATCATTTTGCGTTAGTTGGGAAGGGGGGAGAGGGAAATACAAGCGGGTAGATTGACGCACGTTGAGGTTGGCGTTGCGCTCGAAGACTTTGACGGGCGCATCCTGGGCGGCTTCATAGACATCCCAGTGGTAGACACTGCTGGTTGTGATGAGGCCCAGAGTGGATTCGCTGATCCACTTCCAGAACTGAACATCCTCGTTCATTGTGCAGGACTTGAGCTTCTTCTTCTGCTCAAGGTCGAAGATCTGGAGGGTCCGGGACTGGGCCTTGAGGGCAATGACTTGCTTGTTCCAGTGCATGACAGCACTGTCGGCCTTGATGGGCCGGCGCGTTACGTGGTTGCCATTCTTGAGCTCGACAATGACAACTTCGGGCTGGGCGGCTTCGTTCTTCTTCTCCCGAATGCAAACGAAGGAGTCGGACTCTAGTGTCTGTTTGGGAGCAACGGCACGAGTGAGTCAGCATGTTGTTTTGAAGAGAAAGCACAGCAAAGAATAGAGAAGACAAAGTGACTTGGACTTACGCAGGAGTTGAAGCCGATGGAGGCCGTGTCCACGCCCAGGCTGCTGAGCTGCACCAGCTCCTGGAACTTGATGGGTAGAGGCGCCATTGCGCCAGTGAAGCCAAGAATGAGATAGTATGGGCCGTCGTCGACTCGGTACTCCTAGGGAAGCCGCCTGTCGAAATTGCCGCGGCTCACAGAGTCGGTGTTGAGGCTGGGGAGAGCTAGCTTGAGGCTCGAGGGGCGGATGGAGAGGCCGTCGACAGCTTCCATGCGCCAAGCGGCACAAACGGACTGACTAAAACGGGAAAAAAGGATCGAAGCGAAGAAAAAGAAAAAGGAAGAGCGGCAGCAGGCGAGTCGCGATGATGCCCTGCCGATGCGATGGGGAGGGTTGATTGGCGAAAAGAGGAGAGATTTGGTTGGTTTTGGTGAGGGTAAAGGAGAAGTGGCAGGTCACCTCGCATTAACTTGCTAGACTATTACCTGTTAGCAGCAACAGCCCACTGCAACTGCACTGGTCCAGTGAATTGGTCCCGTCGTCAACAAAAGAAAAGCAGCAAGGTGGCAGGACTGATTACGTGGAGGAGCGAGGACCCGGGCCGGCCAATCGCAGCGCGCGGGTGCACCAAAGATCCGCTCCGGGCACGCTAGGCCGCACGTGAATGTCATTGACAGTGAATCGCGGCCAGGGGGAGCTCTGGATGGGAAGATGCAAGCAATTGAGCTGCAGCGAGAAAATAACAATGCAAAATGATAGCTTAGTAGTGTTAAGACTTTACTCTACTCTATAATTCTCATCTCCATGTGCAGCATCTACGCGTGGTGGGATGGGCAATTGTCGTCAATTTCCTTTGCCTGCCTGACAAGGCTCAGCTCACACGCGGCAGTTTGCATTATTGAGCTCCCCAGTTTTTTTTTAAGCGGCAGCCAGGTCAGCGCAATTTCTCGTCAAACAATCAGCCATTGAACAAGAACCCAGGCAGCGACATTCTCAATTGATGTGAAAAGCGACTGCCTGGAAGGGCGCCCAGCTGACATCGTCACTCTTTATTACCTCTTGACAGCCAGCGTGCCTCTAATCATGCATTCCCAAGACTGCTTATTGTAATTTCATGCCCATTATTATCAAGTGCTGAAGAGTGGCTGCAACATGGTTTCACTTTGTTTCACCCTTGTTTATCCTGCCTGCTAAAAATACAGACACCCCGGTCTGTCTCCCGGCTTTTACGGATCAAAGCGACATGCCCGTTGCGATTGGGATCATGCACGGCTGCGGATACCCATGAGCACACTCATTGCTGGGTTAAAGCCATGAACCCGTGGGATTCACGTACAGTAATCACCATCACCAGGATGAGGCTACTATCTCATTATATCACTTCGACTTGAGGTAGATGCTCTAAACACTATTGCATCATTGACACATGATAAAAGTGCACAATCCTAGTCTCTATGTGTATGGATTTAATTTTAGTGATATTTAGATTAACGCTGGCTTGAAGAGAGAAAGAGGTCGACCGTTAACGCCTGCAACGCCATAGTTTCCACCCAACACAGTTTGCATATACGCCACAAATCTCGCCGAACTAGATCTTCATCGTCATAGGAAGAGGCGGTTGACATTGGTTAATGGGTTAAAAAAAATCCTAGCTCATCCAAAGTGTTCTCGTTCCAGGTGGTGCGTAACCGCAGCCTCGTCTCCTTCAAACGCCTCACAAATCGGGCAAACAGCCGTGCCTTCATCTAAGCGAGCACCTCCGGCTTCACTAGAAGATGTGCTGGTTGTCGGTGGGTCTAAATCCGGCATGAAGTCTGCCAGATTTCTCGGCGGCGGCCCCTCCAAATACTCAAAGTCGTCATCATTTCTGATGTCCGTATACCGGCTGCTGAATCTTGAGTTCGACAAATTCGAAGGGCTCGGAGCCCACGCTGTCCCATTTGATGGCTCTGAGGACCCGTCATCAAGCCTTTGCACTCTACCTATTTGGCCGTTCCGTAATCTGACTTTGATGCCGCGAGGATGATCTCCCGATGTGAGAACATCCTGGACGACTCCTTGCGTTTCCCGGCCCGTCGGCTGGTCTTCCTTCAGAATGATAAAAACTGCAGCACCAGGCACCACCTGTCTAGATGTTGGAACAGTCCCAGCTGCTTGCTGCGGCGTCCCGGGTGCCCGTCGACCCGAGTTTGAGGATCTCCCTCCCCGGCCCCGGCCTCGGGGTTGGCTTTGTCCAGAGGGTCGAGGCTGATGATTGCGTGGCCTGTTCATTGCCCAAGAAGATTCATATCCAAGGAGTTCTTCAGAAAAGGGGGGGGGGGGGGGGGGGGCAAACGGAAAGGGCATGGAACTCTATCCAATTTTTCGTTTGCATTGTCGATTGCCGGCTGATTTCACGCCATTAGTCAGCATCTTTTCAGCATTATTACCGCCAGAGCACAGCGTCCGTTATATGGTCGCCCATCAAGCCAGCGTAATGTTGACCAAATTACCATCTCTGTAACAGTATAATAGATAGTGCATACGTAGCTGTATACTTTTTTCCTACTAACATTGGTTTCTAATAACCAGAGGAGAGCCCGAGTAGATGCATCTGCAATACGGAGTACAAGTAATAGTCACCAAACCAAAATACACTACGAGTTAGCACAGCCAATTCTTACTACCCGGCAATATTTCCACTACCAATTGTACTTTGCCTTATATCATGTCTTTACACCTAAAGTGTGCCAATGATGTAATCAATCGAGGACTTTCCGTCTGTGAGATTCTGTTTTTCCAATTTACTTTATTCATTGGGGTATCTACCCCGAGAGTTTACATCATTCAGAATCCTACAATGTCAATATTACATGTAGTAAAGCCACATCTGGCGTCATTGATACATATCCACAGCAACCCTGATGGTTATCTGCATATGTCTACCTATTACAACGACTTATGGCTATTTGTGCCACAATGTAGTCTGACCTAGCTCCGAATTATTGGCCAAATCGAAGAACTTAACCGATTCTTACAGTGAAGCTAGAAGCAGGACAGTATGGATCAATTGTGGATAGAGATGATGATTGTATCGGCCCCGGCCGAGAGTCGGAATCACATGGGAGTGACCTCGGAGGTAAATCAGCAATACCCAATGACGACAGTCGAGAAAAAGAAGAGAGAAAACAAAAAGTATCTGAAGTCAAAGGTGGAGGAAATCAAGTATAAATACCGTGCTTTCTCCAAAGGTTTCCTTATGTTTATACTCTTCCTATCATCTACTCATTGAATACAATTTACAATAGCAACCAAAGCGCACCCAGATACCATGTCGGACAACACTAACCCCGGAAACTTTGCCAATCGGTATGATATCAAAAGCAGTTTCAAAAGTATGTCACTGACCAATTATTGTTAGCCCCAAGGAGGAAGTGCAGTCGATTGCATCCAAGGGTGGACAGGCGAGTCACCAGGGCGGCTTTGCTTCCATGGATCCTGACAAGCAGGTTTGTTGGCAGTTGAGACAGAGTGGAAAGACATTGTGACTAACCCAACTGTTGCAGCGCGAAATTGCGTCCAAGGGCGGCCGGGCCTCTGGAGGATCTTTTGAGCCCGGAAGCAAGAAAGCTCAAGAGGCGGGCCGCAAGGGTGGTTTGCAGTGATGTATAATCGAAACTCTAGTGTCGGATTCACTGGTAGACGGTGAGATTATCTCCTATTGTAGATAAACATACACTAGCAATTTTGCTCTAATACAGACTACTTAACCCTGTATTTGTTGAACTGGATCACGAACAGTAAAGTTCTTCCGATAAACCTTTGGTGTGGTGATGGTTGTCTGTGACAGCGATCCAATACTAAGGTATATATTACTTAATACGATCAAGTACATCATTGTTTCCTACTCCGCCATAACGTTTAATTTCTTAACGGACTAACGCAGAACACAACAATTGCCCGTTTGGTTGTTGAAGCATCATCTTTGTATCGTTCAAGAGTCTTGTATCATCGCATCGTTCTAAGAAAGGCTATTGATGCCGTCCAAAATTACGCAGGCGTTTTTTATACATATTATAAACAATTCTACGAGGGTCTCCTATTTCGATTGCCAAATCTCGTGTGGTTTTTAAGAATTTTGCCTTGGCAATGGGCAACCCCACGTTCATCATTGCCTTACCACGGCTCGTTAACTGCCATTTGCTCAAATCTTTGGTCACTGTAAGTATCTGTATGTTTCTCTCAAGTATGTAGCTGCAGGCTTTTTGTGACTACTCTTTTAGTGAATCTTCGTCATGTCCAAGGCGCAAACACTGCCTCCCAAGTGTGGTCCCCCGGGAAAAATGTTGGGGACTACCGCATTCAACTTAATCTAACGGCATTTCAGACCTCACTTTTCGAGGAATACATAGTTGCTACCTCTTTTGTCGCTCGTATCCAATCAATGCCAGCTTGCCTGCAAGAAGCATCGCCAGGAAACCCACAGAATGGGGTCTCTCATTCTTACTCATGACTTCTTTCTTTCTTTCTCGTCTGAATTGGTGAACTTTGGAGAATTTGTGAGATACGCAGATAGCTATCTGTACTTAGGTATATATCAATTTGATATTCGTATGAGACCAGTCCATTGCGTATTGCATGTACATATCGAGAGACTATTTCTCTATATGCATGAGCTTGTTGATACCGAAAGCATAGCAAATCTGTGCAGCCTGAATTAATGGTATATAGCCTAGAAGGCAAAGTATTCCTCATATTTTTAAGCTATTAGCCTCAAATTGGCTCTAAGATTAATGTCGTAATTGTGTGGTAGTAATGAGATTCTGGCTATTGTAAGCGCTCTATTGCCGCTCTTGGCCAACTAGTGTGCCTTGAGTATGCCCATTCGTGAATCTTGAGGGATGCTAGTAAGAGTCACGTAATGGCTTGGCATAAACAGTAGTAAATACATCAAGAAAGCATAAAGCTGCTTTATACACTATGAACGAGGATTTCGAGACCTTGAAGCTCTGCGCTGTCAACTAGAGTGCTGCGGGTTCGATCTGGAGCAACACGTTACAAAGCTGATTCATGAGATTAGTGCAATTCTCTCAATGGCCAATCCCATGTTAAGGAGATATTTTGATCGTTTGGAAGTACATCGGAATAATATACGTAAATTGTTGCATTCGATGTAGCCACTCGGAGTAAAGCCAGGGTAATCGGCAAATTGAATAGAGTCTTCCTATTTTCACAGTAGCATATTCCTATTTTTACAGTAATACTCTACACCATACATTAGAGTTACCCCCCAAATTGCAATTGCTACACCTATATACTAAAATACAGTGTAACGCACTGGGAAACGATATCTTTATACAAAATTACACTTAGTATAACTATTGACTATTAATTCCTTCCAGAAATGCGATTCCAATGCCCTCTAATGCTTCCTGATGCCTTAAATTGATTACACAACGCCCTACATGCCGGCAAGCTTATTAACATCGTCGTTGCCCGGCTGGGTGGCCGGGATAACCTTAATACAGTCCTTAGCCTCGTCCTCGTCCTCGTCCTCGTCCTTAGCCTCTTTAACAGCAGCAGCAATTGCTGCAAGCCGTGCCGTAGATACCCTCCTTCCTCCTTGCGACCGGCTGCTTGTAGTTTTTTGTGACGAAGTTCCCCGGCTGCGGCCGCGGCTGCGGCCCTATGACGACCTCTGCGAGCCTGTAACTTTAAATTACGATAGATTGCGGCGTGCGCTTGGCTTTGCACGCCGCTTGAGGCGATGTAACCGTGGAGTCTGCTTAGGCTGCCGTTGCTGTATTGATCTCGATGATTGCGGCTGCGGAGCCTTATCCTTATCGTCGTCGGCCATTAGTGCTAACGGCACCGTTATCTTCTCGTTATTTAGAAGGCGAGGCTGGCTACGGAGGTTCTGGATAATATTGGGGTTGCGGATTTGAAGCAGGGGCTCGTTAATGTCCTAGAACTAAGCAGTTAGTAGCTTTTCTATAGAAAACAAGAGGAAATCTTACTAAAGGCTTAGTTAGCTACTATTGCGGGTGGATATCTTCCTTGCTGAGGGCCTCGCCGTCTTCTAACTTTTTGAAGATTGTGTGGCTGTAAGGGAGTGCGTATTGCTGTATAAAGCTGCTGGTGTAAGGCTTCAGCGGCTTAGGCATTAGGCCGCGGCTTGACGGTATTGCGGCTACGGCCAGGCGATGTTGCTGTGCGAGGAGATTAACGGCGACGTAGCTGACGGTTATCGGGATGTTGCCTAGCTAGTCCTGCTGCTGGATAAAGCGCTGCTGCTGCCGCATTTGCATCTTAGCCGCCTTCTGATTGTAATCTTGCTTTTTCTTCTGCAATATTAAGGCGATAGCGTTGTGAAGGTGTAAGAGATTGCTTGTGCCGGTGATGAGGAACGATTTTACGTTTTTATAAGCCGTCTTGACGGGACTATTAACTCTCTGGCCGAAGTTGTAATATTGTTTAATAAAGCAGCGAGCCTACTGCTCCCGCTACGGTATATATTCCCTTGAGATATACCGTAAGATGTGGTTTTGTTTGGTACCGTAAGTTGCCTTTATCTTTGCTTACGTTTAGTGGAAGCCGTCTTTGTTTTTAGCATAGATAACTTACTTCCAGGTGCGGAATATGCCCTTGCGAGACTGGGGGTCGGCGGCGGGCAGCAGGGCAGCGCAGCCACGCTCAGCAATCTCTTGCTCGGCGGCGCGGGCGGCGAGGTTATCGTTAACTTTAACGGCAGCGTTGTTAGCGTAAGCTTGAGCCCTGAGGAGGTCTTTGTCGCCTTTAGTAACCTCAGGCTTGTTATCGTCAGCTTTGTCATTGCTGCCGCCGTCTTCGCTCTTCTACTTCGATTGAATTCTCGTATTAATGTTGGCGTTAACGTAATATATATACAGCTGCTGCTGGGCGCTAGGAAATACGGCCTTGAGTGCGTTTTTGAGCGCTATTTCCTTGTCTGTGATTATTACAGTCGGCGCCGGTATATGAAGGTCTTGACGAAGTTCCTCGAGTCGTTTGCATAGCCAGAGAAAGCCGTCCTCTCGCTCTGTATTAATGAGGCCAAAGGTGAAGTTGGCTACTGACTTCTGGTCCGTGATGCCTATAACCTCGAAGAGATATATGTGAAATCGGTTGGTTTTATATGTATTATTAAGGCTAAGGACTTCCGGGAACTAATGCTACATCGTCTTTGACTAAGGATAGGTCTATAAGACGCCTACGACCTTGTTGTTAGTATTAAACTTGATATAGTGACGAAGCTCGTTATCTTTAAGCTGCTTGATCTACGCTTGAGTTGCTGATAAGCTGTTAAGTGCCTCGATCCTGATCTTCTGCCTGTTATTATATATGTCTGACTGATGAAAGAAGGTAGGCTTAGCGGCAGCAGCGCTGGAGTCTCTTAAGATCTCTATTATCTTGCGCGCGGGCAGGGCCCGGTGCTTCGTTAAGTCTTGCTTTTGTTGTTGCTGGGCTGGGGTGCGCCGGCGATGTATATTATATGCTGAAGGGTTAAGAGACGGTGGATGATTGTGCTTATTATAGATAACGCGGTACGACCACTTCTAGTTGGCGCTTTTCTTCGCTGTTGCCGTAATTTTATAAAGGTATCCTGTCTGTTGAGTTGAAGATCGTCGGATCCTAGTGCTTCTCGAAGCTTAAGTGCCGGCATGGTCGCAGATAAGGGCACGATACGTTTGGACTTTTGTGCTGTTGATAACCTGCGGATTAGCGCTTTTCTCGGTGCGAAGGGCGGCGCCGTTATAGCGATGGAACGTCTGTAAGAAGCTGAAGAGATCTTTAAACGAGTTATACATTACCGACGGCGGTACAGCGTTATATTAGGCGTCTATGATCTCTTCGGCTTGCTGTAACGCCTCTGCGATGTCTTCGGCTTGTTGTGACGCTCCTGGCGCGTATACAGGCGGCTGCGATGCCCTCTCAGTGTACAAAGGCGGCGGCGGATACTTAATATCGTCTCTAGTCTGGATTGTCACTCCTTCATCATAAAATTCATAGACTTGCGGCTATTCGAGGTCAAAGCCATCCTCAACTTCAGCGGCCGGTGCCTCTGCCGGCGCCGGCACGTCTGACGACGGGAAGAAGGCACTGATCTCATCAAGGCCGGCGCCCTGGGAAAGCTCTGACGGCAGCGGCGGGTCAAGGGGATCGTCGCCTAGGGAGGAAGCTATTGCGATGCAAATTGCGATATCGAATATCGTGATATTCAACGGTAAGGCTGAAAAAACGCGAAGTCAGAGCCTTGTATTGTGTTTTTTCGCTAAGTACGTGATGCGCCAGGGTGTTATACTGTAATTTGGTGTGGTTTACTGGGAACGGTGGTGTGGGTGTATTAATTTTAGTACGGGCATGGGCTACTACTGTGAAAATAGGAATATGCTACTGTGAAAATAGGAAGACTCATTGAATAAGCTTATGAATTAGAGGAGACATTTATTTGATGTCATCCAATCAACAGCCGTGGCTGTACCTAATTAATACGTTTCAAGCAATGACAATGTGTCAGTTTTTATACTACGAAATACCCTAATTATGCTTGTAAGATACATTTTGTTCCAATGTCCATCCCATGTTGGCCGTAATTTGGCATGAAGCCATTCCCGTTCCAACTCCTTTGGGTTTTTTTTTTTTTTTTTTTTAGAATATCTCTATGAGTGAAGGAACAAGCGTAATTTTATAATTATTTGCTCTGTTCAATAATGATTACTCTGCTAGTTACTAGGCTACATTGCCATGTCACCACCTAATGTAAGCTCGTCCCTTTAAGATCTCATCGATGGTGCGTATGTCATAGACAGTTCAGTCCTCCTTTAGTTTTAGAGATCTAAATCTCTCAAGTTTCAAGTAGATGCTATTAAGTCAATTAGGAAAGTCAAAGGCGGGCTAATACATCGGATATTTTCATGTTAATATATAGATATATATCTTCGTAACATCGTTCCAGACACAATTCAGCCTAATTATCGTCCTGTTCAATCAGATGTAACAAATTCCCTTTTATGCTAGGCCTTGAGAAAGGATTCGGTACAATTTATATTTGGCCGATGAATATATTAATTTTCGGCATACCGCAATAGGCAGTACAAATTGTTAGAAATGCTACGCCTTCATCAGACAGAAAGGTGTGATTTACTGACGTATTTTACAAATATAAGATGGCTTGGATCGGTTTTCTCGTCACAGACGTCTCCTCAATCTCCAGGGGTCAAAGCAAGATCACCACATTAAATTCTTTTACGACGCCAATCACAGAGTCGCCATGAAGCTCCTTCAGATCTTACCTGTTATCTTGCCTGTGGCCGTAGCTCAGACCAGCTGCGAACAGTATGCAGTGTTCTCTGGTGGCAATGGCTATTCAGTCAGCAACAATCTCTGGGGGCAATCTGCCGGTAGTGGCTTCGGCTGCATCACCGTAAACTCACTCAACTCGGCTGCTTCCTGGCATGCAGACTGGCAGTGGTCTGGTGGCCAAAACAACGTCAAGTCCTATCCCAATGTCCAAATCGCCATTCCCCAAAAGAGAATTGTCAACAGTATCGGCAGCATGCCGACCACTGCTAGCTGGAGCTACACGGGGAGCAACCTTCGCGCCGATGTAGCTTATGATCTCTTCACTGCGTCAAATCCCAACCATGTCACTTATTCTGGGGATTACGAGCTCATGATCTGGTAAGTCTTAGAGACCACCTTTCTTGATATTTGACTAACCACAAATTCGTTTTTAGGCTGGCAAGATACGGAGACATTGGCCCCATCGGATCTGCTCAGGGCACGGTGACCATCAATGGTCAGAGCTGGACGCTCTACTATGGCTTCAACGGAGCCATGCAAGTCTATAGCTTTGTGGCCCCCAGTACTGTCACCAATTGGAGTGGAGATGTGAAGAACTTCTTCAACTATCTACGAGACAACAAAGGATACCCGGCATCAAGCCAATATGTCCTCAGTATGTGGCTTTCATATTCATTTTACTCAAATATGCTTTGCGATCATACTAACCATATACCTCATAGGTTACCAATTTGGTACTGAGCCTTTTACAGGCAGTGGGACGCTGAACGTAAATTCCTGGACCGCATCTATCAACTAAGGCAGACGTGTTACAAAGCGCAGTTAGTATATACTATTTAGCTCAAATAATCGAATGTATCTATTTGCTCCTCCTTATGGTTACTAGTATGCAGTCAGCCAATCATCTGATACCGTGAGCGACATGCCACGATATCGGCATCCAACAGACGGCCGTCAACGAGCAAATAACAACTCGGCCGCACTGAACCGAACCCCGAGTAATTCAACCGGACGGTGGATCTGCAATCTACAGCCCGAGAACGGCATGGCCATGGCTCCAAAATGATCGGCCAAGTGCTGACTCCTCCTCTTCAGTTGCTGGTCCACAAAATGGCTATTCATTCCCCCACGTAGGCTGGCCTATGTTACCCGTTATACCCCGGATAGTCACAATCGTGCATTCGTGTCGCCCGCCGCCTTTCCTGCTTTGAGTCTATGGTTGATGCATGAACGTGTTTCCAAGCCTTTTAGTACAACAGACGAGACTCGGAAAAATTGAAGCAAAGTCTTTCCGCGGGGGAATCCAGGTTTAGCGTACCTAGGTGGCTTATACGAAGCTTTTAGGCGCGGTGCCTTGTCCAACGTCTCTAATCTAGAGCTACGCTTATGTTACCATTAGATTGCGGGGAAGCAGAGAACATGTGAGGGACGACGACGATAGCCCGCATTTTGAGGTTACATGAGTTGGCCGATGTGAAGATCTTATGCATTGATAGGCGAGATTCGAGTTTAGAGCTGATAAAGGTCTCCGATTGCGGGTTGGACCCGACGTGGTCTCTGTGCGCATGCATCCTTCGTGTAAGTCCCTGTGCCTGTAGTATTGCCTATATATATTGTACCCCCGGCAATGTCGATCCCATCGTTTCAAGATCCAACATCAAAGCTCCATCTTGAGGATTCTTTGCCGTTTTCCGAGATCAGCCTCGCAAACCATGGCTAAAAAGGCAGAGCCTTCGCCATATGGCGATGTCGAAGCCCAGGATACCATCTCTGTTGCTGCTGCTCCCGTCAGCGCCTTCGACAACTATGATACTCAAAAAGCGGAAAACGAGCAACAGCATATCGGCACTCTTGACCGTAGACTCAAAGCTCGTCACGTTCAGTTCCTTGCTCTCTCTGGAGCTATTGGCACAGGCCTCTTTGTTGGTAGCGGACAGGTCCTCTCTTTGGCGGGTCCGCTCTCTGCGTTTATATGCTACATCATCACGGGCTTCAACCTCTACTGTGTGATCAACAGCCTGGGTGAGATGGCAGCCTGGTTACCGATTCCAGGTGCGGTGCCGGTTTTTGCCTCACGGTTTGTGGATCCGGCGCTTGGCTTTACGCTGGGATGGAATTATTGGTATCAGTTTGCTATTGGTGTGCCCATCGAGGTGTCTGCCTGTGCCATCATTGTCGACTTTTGGCCAAACGATGTGCCCAAGGCTGCGCTCATCACTGTCTTTTTTGCTGCCATGGTCATCATTAATTGCTTGCCGGTACGCATTTACGGAGAGGCTGAGTTTGCGTTTGGTGCCATCAAGTTGACCACCATCGTTGGCTTAATCCTGCTCATGTTCATCATCACTTTGGGTGGTTCTCCATCCGGCGATAGAATCGGCTTCCGATACTGGCACCATCCTGGCCCAATGAATACTTACCTGGAAGATGGCGCGTTAGGGCGCTTCCTCGCTTTCTTCAAGGTCTTTATCTCAGCCACCTTCGCCTACGGTGGCAGTGAGATTGTGGTGGTTGCCTCAGGTGAAACTCAGGATCCGCGACGAAACATTAAGCGCTCCGTTCGACGAGTGTTTTGGCGTATTCTTATCTTCTACGTCCTTTCAATCTTCCTCGTTGGCCTTTGTGTCTCATCTGAAGATCCCTCCCTGCTCAATGCTATCAACAGCTCTGCTCCGGGTGTAGGTGCCAGCCCGTTTGTTATTGCGATCAAGAATGCCGGCATCAAGGTCCTTCCGCATATTATTAACGCAGTTGTTCTCTCTTCTGCCTGGTCAGCTGGCAACTCATTCTTCTATGCTTCCACCAGAGTCCTCTATTCGGCTGCCTTGGACGGCAAAGCTCCTGCAATTCTCAAGTATGAGAAGTTTGGTGTGCCCTATGCCTGTGTGGCCTTGACCACGGCGCTGAGCTGTCTCGTCTATCTGAACGTCAACAATCAGTCCGCCGAGGTTTTCTTCTGGATCAGCAACCTGAGTGCTGTCAGCACGCTCATCGTTTGGGCCAGCGTGTCTTTCATGTACCTCCGCTTTTACTACGCCCTCAGATACAACGGTATCGACCGTGATACTCTACCCTTCAAGGCCCCATTCCAACCATATTTAGGCTACTTTTCCATTGTTTTCTGTCTTGTTATTGCATTCTTCAATGGATTCGACTGCTTCTTCCCCGGCCGATTCAGTGCCAAGTCGTTCATCCCGCCATATATCGACATTCCCATCTTCTTGTGCTTGTTTTTCGGCTACAAACTTGTCAAGAAGACAAAGTTTGTTGGTTTGGCAGAGATGGATCTCTGGTCAGGGAAAGCTGAGATTGATAGACTGGAATCCACGTGGGTCAAGCCAGTGCCACGTAATTTCCTGGAGAGGATCTGGTTCTGGATTGCCTAAGTCGGAGAATTTGACAGAGGGGCCATTTACATATAATTTGTCTGTCATAATATTAAAATATTCATTATATATCTGCCTATGGTTCGCTGATTCTCGATATCGTGGGCGCGGATCGCTTCACAGCAGAAGAACCCAGCTGGCCTTGTCTACGAGCGCTCTGGAATGCGAAGTGGTATCTGGTAATAATACCGGCTGCGCCCTCTTACCACCAAGCTACTGTGAAGCTATTATCAACTGTGCATTATTAGCGCAGGTCCAGCCGCTTAAACGGCTATGACTGTGTGCTACCACTGTTGTCCATTCGAGAAAGATACGATACTAGTATATTACAGGATTTGTACATAGGCTAATTACATGAATACAGCGCGAGCCGAATTAGCGTGCTCAAGGAGCCTGGTTAAAGTCATAGCTGTTCCCGAACCCACGGTTCAGATACGACTTCATCGCTTCCTCAGAGCTAACCCAATCAATGGGAACTTCAAGTCCCAACTTGCCCTCTTGGTCGAGCTTTTCCAAGATTGGTTTCATGTTGTCTCCAAACTGCAACTTCATGGGATTTCGGTACCATGGTGCAAAATGAATCATGGCGAGCATGATCCGGACCTGCTCAGATGGGTTGGGCATACCGGCATGCCACAGTCTTAGGTCTCGCAACACGACTGATCCCTTCTTCACGATGGGCTGAATGGGTGGGCGGACGGCCTCACGCTCACGTAAGAAGTTCTCCTTGATTCGGCCACTTGCTCGCTCTCCGTGTGCGCCTTCTTGAAAGGAAATGTCTGTCTTGTGTGTTCCCAGCCAGAGTTCTGTCGAGCCATTCTCCGGTGTCATTGTTACCAGAGGTACGTTGACAACAAGAGCGAATGGGTGCGCTGGGTGAGCGAAATCGGCATCTGAGTGCACCGGCTGTCGCTGAGGAGAGGCACCGGGGAGGGGAGGCATGGCCGAATTGGCAGAGCAAAACGTCCACTTGGGTCGAGGGCCGAGGACAGCTGAGGTGACTTGAGTAGCAACGGTATCTGTGTGGGAGAATGAACGGTTAGAAAGCGATTCTTCGCGGATCCAGTCCTATCAAGTGGTCTATCTTACTCGTGAATATTGATGGATAAAAGAACTCAGCAACGGGGGGCGCATCTTGCTGCAAGTTTCCCTGGTTGTAGTTGAACGGCCCCTTTCCGCCCATATTTTGAAGCACGCGGGCATCCTGGACCATTTTGGCGTTGAGGCTGTCAATGTCCTCATGCGGTACGACATCCTCAATCACCACAAGACCATCTTGATGGATGTGTCGCACGGCCTTTTCAAGGTTGCGCTCGTCAAGCCTGGCATTTTTTATCTCGCTGGCACTTGGGCGCACCACAGCAGGCCAGTGAAGACCTGGAGCTGGCGAAGCTTTCGCCGCGGAAGCAACTGTCGCCAGACCCCGACTGATGACATGGAGTCGAGGGGCTCGAAATCGGACTGCCAGCATCGTAACTTTGTGATGGGTGGTATCTGATAGCAGGCAGTTTTCTGATATAAATCAATTTAATAAGGGCTTTGAAAAAAGATAAGGCGCTCATGCATTGATGCAAAGATTTACACTTTTATACCCTCCCTTCCCAGTCATGGGGCCGCAGTAAGTGATGCTATACTGAAACCCGAGCTCGGGATATCATGCTCACTTGGATCAATACGAAGCGGGGGACATGTCGCTAAGCAGACCCGGACTCGGCCCCGCTTCCCCAGAAAAAGTTGGAGATTCCAGCTCGGGGAGTCCTGCTGCTGCCCATGAGTTCTTGAGGCTGGAGATCAGGCGTTCGACGGGCCATCCGACAGGCCGTTTACACGCTGCTAAGCGGCGGATTACCTCTTGTCTGGCTTGCTCGGACCGTATGAACTTGCCGCCTAGGAAGTTTTGTATCGTCAGATGGAGAACGAAGGGGTGGATATGGATTTTTGTGGCGGGCCACTTACAGTAGGCAATAGGGCCGAAAGAGTTTACAATCACCGAAGGTATGTTGGTTGTGAAGGCGATCCCACAAATTGCGAGGGCATAAGCATCTAGCAGCTCCTCCTTGTTTGTTTCATGACCGACAATGCCGACATCGTTTGCCACTGAATGAAGTAATGAAAGCTGGTCTGGCGGTGCTAATACGGCGAGGATGGAGAGCGAGACAAGAGCGTATTGCCTCGCAGATGCTAAATGCGAATCAAACCCGAGTATCAGCAACATACCCACAGTGGCAGTGTTGAAGTTGTTGGAGAAAGCCTGCAATATATGACATACCGTGAAAATCTTGTAGAAACCAGAAGCTGGGTAATTCGCCAACTGTTGACAAAGTCACAGACCGGCCTCTGGAGAATGGTTTGACGTGCTGTGGAATCTCATCGAGCCAGGCGTGAACCATTCCAACGAACTGCCGCCACTCAATTGCTGAGATCTGGTAGCTAAAGGCCTTGTTGATGATCTGACCGAGTATGAGCGAAATGGAGTGGAGTTGATCGTGGCCATTCGTCAATCTCGGAGCGGCGGATCCAGTCACGTCCATCTTCAATGGGCAACCCTCGAACAAGCTAAAAGTGATGTCTTCCCGAAGGTAGTTCCAAAATCCGGCGGCGAGGAGGCTTTCCGGGGGGCTCCCTGCAATGGAGCCTTCACATGATGCCAGCGAGTATGCGCCTCTGAGATGTCTGTTGGGGTCAATGTCCTCTGATCCATGTTAGCCTAGGTACTGGAACCCCAATTGCATCTGTTTCCAATGGATTCTCTTGGCTCACCATCGAGAATCTCGTACGACCGCAACAAGCAGGCCGCTGCTAGCGCGACGCCATTCGTCAGCAACTCGCTCTTTTCATCCAGCTTGATGAGGTAGGCGACACAACGGCTGTGGTAGAATCCAGCCATTTCCCTTGCAATCTTGGGCCCCGTTGTCTGGCACAGGTGCTCAGCTGATAATGCAACCACGGCGCTGAAAAGGAGTGGCTCGTCCAGGGCCAGCTCCGGCACCTTTGTGGCGAATTGACGCAAGGCATCTCCAAGGTCGTACCATTTTGCCAGCTCCGTGATGTAGTTGTGAAAATACCAAGCCACATCTGGCAGCTCAAGAGCATCTCGGGGACTCTCGGGAGATGGAAATCTGGTTCTTCCAGCGGCTCCTACGGAATGTAGCGGCTCAGTTAGCTCAGAAGACGAGATATTTGAGATCCGGGGAGGCGGGAAATTGCGGGGAGATGTAGCAAGTGAGTTTTGAGAAAGTATAAAAAGACTTCAGGTTGACCAAACGCACCATTAGCAGCAGCAGCAGCAGCTGGTTCTGATGGATGATGATATGCCAGCCATCTAGATGATTTTTGTGGACGCGCGCAGTATCTCCTTGATCTTGTGCATTGGCCACAAATGGGGCTTGCCTCGTCGCCTGTCAGAAAAGGGGCACATGTCAGTCATTCCAATGGCGTGTATAACGAGGGCGAGGGAATATTCTGAGAGTTAGGGGTGTACAGGAAGCCCTGGGGGTCTGACAAGATTCGGTGCTACTCACATTTTACTTTGCGCTGCCTGCACGTATCGCTGTTAAGCAGAAGCCGACGGCAGATGTGATTAGACACTGGCGTCGATAGTCTGAAGGAAGAATCATTGCTTACCAGGCTATGATACCACAAGGTCAGTAAGAGTAACAGAGGCAGGGTATGGAAGCAGGGGAGTCGATGCAAAGATAACATGTCCACACACACACACCGTTGCATACGCGACAGTACGCATATCAGGATGCATGTATGTACACACTCAGATGCAAAGGAGCAAAGGAATGGGCCGAACCTAGCGTCTTGTTCGACAACCCAGCGCTTACCTGCTATATTCAATGCCCGAGGCATTGGCTCTCGATGGTATTCACAGATGTGATGATTTGACGCACCCCTAGTCTTGATCTACCACGTTCTTCACGGGTTTGTCAGTTGGGAAGTGGTTGATTAGGTAGACAAAGGCACAAAACCGAATTTACATCAACCAGTGGCCCACCGGACGTTTGTAACTGATTGAATAGCTTTTGCGGGGAAGCAGACAGTAGTAAAAATAGAGGTGGAAAGCGGCGCGTCTGCTGCAGGATGCAGAAAACCTCCATGAACAGGCGTCTACGTACTATGAATAGGCGTCTTCTCATAATTGTCTAGACTGCGCACTAAAGAGTCTGGAGCCGTCTAGGGCCGATCGACCGTTTAGCCGCACAGTAGAGATCTGGTGTTGCTGGTATCTGCATAAATGCGTGGCTGACTCTAGGTTTGGCCAGTTTATAATAGCACTCTGATGTTGCTAGTCTGTCTGTACGATACATCCCCTGGCGAACAACCTGGCAAATACACAAGGCGTTACTATCTCGATCCATAAATTTGACATGAATGCCGCATATAGTCTTTTCTGTAGGATTTTATCCCTTGAATTTGCAGTCAAACTCGAACAGTTGAAGACGTGGGTACGATGCTACTCTTATGCGTTTTCTGCTACCCTACAAACATCAGATGCAATGTCGTGATCTTTTCTGCTATGCAGTGAAACGAGGGACAATAACGAAATTGCACCGCATGACGCACGAATCCCTGCTGGAGGGGTGATACATCAAAGTATTGTGCTACAAGACCCCGAATCATTTACACGTGCACCACTATCAGGCTCCTAAATGTGAATACCCACGTGCTCATGTTGTTTCTTTAACGAGATGCGCATATTATCTAAGGCCCTCAGAATAGGCAATTGGTATAAGTAGGGGTATCATCGTCGACCTCGCTTCTCTCATTATTGACCTGCCCTTTTTGGCATCCTTATATATCACCTTGATAGTTATGAAGCAACGCCGACTTCAATAGGACGACGAAACAGATCTCGCGTAGCAAGCATTGCGGAGACTCGAGTAGGATAGGATTGAGGGGAACATTCTTTGGTTACATCTTGTGGGTAAAGTACAAGGTTTCTCATGCAGACAAGAACCTGCAAACGGAGGCATTCATACCTCGGATTTCCCATTTGGTGGTGTATTTCTCTTTTGTGCAACATGCCGAAGTTAACCGAACAATCTCGTCAATGAGTTGTCGCTTCGTTCTGCTCTATCCTCTCGCGTCGCTATCTATGGCTCTTGGCAGCCAAGCCGCCAATCTGAGACTTTATGCGACGATGTGACTGACTGATAGGCCCAATAGCCCAAGGAAAGACGCGGAAGCTACCCCGTATTAAAGGATGGTCCCTTTTGCAATTGGCTGCTCATCAATATTGCTACCGATAATTTATTTCTGTTTCGCTAAGTTGGCAATATGGCTCTTTCACCCTTTACTGTATCCGTAGTGAACGGTGAGGGGCCCTGCCAAACGACTATATCCTTACTCCATCGCTTGCAAGTAAGGTTATTTATTTATGGTTCTGAACAAGCATCAATCGCAAGGTTAATAAATCCCCTAAGTACCCCACGGGCAGAGATGGGGTGCATGTGTACTGAGCGCGGCTATACGCGTGGGCGTCTCCTAGCTCGCTTCATAATGGAACTGAACTCGAAAGTTGGATCGCATGGTAGCATTGATGAGGTTACAACACAGCTAGAACGCACTGCATCAGCCAATCAAGCTACCCCGTATCCTCCGCTTTACTGACACGCTGTGCAAAAGATCCTTTAAAAGCACTCAGTTCGTATTATCACAAAGAGGTTGGATGTCATTCTGCATGAACTGTACCGGCGTCAAGCACATAGACTGACACCCTCGGGGAGCATATGGAGCACGACGCGGCGGTACATGGATGTTACTCATTGATAGTATGATGTATCTTCATTTGGGAGAAATATGAGCGCTGCAACTTATATGTACAGCCAAATGCTGCAGCGATACAAATATATTGATATACAGAGTCTATTCCATTGGACAAGCCATAAGATGGCGACCCTTTCGGCTTCTCCCTCCCGTCTCGGAGTCCCGGTATAATTCAATATTAAATTCCCGACCCTACACTTCTCGAAATGGTGCGTACCTGGAATCAGATAACGGCGAGCTCGTCAAACAGGAAGGCCATTTCGAAGATCGCCCACCATCAACGGCTCTCATCTCCATCGGGAAGCTCATCTTGTCCAGCCCCTCCTGACGTGCCCAACAACTACAACTTTATTGTATAACGTTCTTTTCGGAGACTTAAATGCCGCTATTTGCAGCTAGGGGTCTGGTCTCTTCACATGCTGTCCTGTGTGGTCTGCATTATGACAGATATCAGTATGCCCCGCAAGTCGGATCTGATGGCACGCAACTACATCATCTTGTTGACTAATGGACATAGCAACCAGCAGAGAATGTTATCATGGGTACGAATCTTGTAGACCTTCTCAGAATTTAAGCTGTAGAGCGTGGGACAACGCTTGCGCATGAATATATGGGCGGCGGAGCGAGGATGGGGGCCACACCCCTCGGATATTCTTCAAATATCCGACCGCGTGCTTTTGGAGTGGCTGCTGCACCACAGTAGTTATCAATCACAAAGAGGTGGTGTGGCGGATGCCGTTGCCGTTCAAATGAAGTTGGCATCTTGGTTGGTTCGGTTTCTACCGGCGGTATTTGATCGTAAGAGCATGATCATTATTCTGCGATAAGAAGATGAAAGCTGGGGTCGTAGATTCCCCCCCTTTCGTATGATTCCTAGCCCACCCTGTAAAACAGCCAATTGCATGGAGAAGAAGGGCAATGATCGCAACTTCTTGCACGTCGTTCATGATTCTCTTGGCATGTTGTGACTTCGTGTGTGCGGTTCATTAGCATTAGATACGCAATATCCCCTGGCTATTGAGACATTGGTACCCAAAAGCTGTCCTCTTACAAAGCTCCATGCAGATGGAGATCGATAGTATCTGGCATGGCTTTTTGGCCATGGAAGACCTATAATAAGTGAGTTACATCATGATTACAAAGACTCGGGGTCTGCTGGCTCGTATTGATAGGCAGTGTTGCATCCAAACTTTAGATACAACACCGAGAAGCGTGATATGAACGAGAGTATATCATGATGTTCTATAAGCTTCTTTATCCTAATGCTAATACAGAAAAGCTCATGGAAGTGCCTTGTATGACAAAGTAGACCCATGTCTGATGTGCCAACGTGACGGCCACTGAGGTAGTATCGTCATTTTTGGCTTCCCAAAGACCAGTCTATCTGAATATTAGGCTCACTCATTGTTGGGTTCGCCATCGAAGGACCACAGAGGTTCTTGGAAGATGCCCCAACATTATCACAGCTGTCGTGGATGGTCTGCTTTCAGCATAATTACAGCATCGTACATGCGTACTTTTGTCTTGACAGTCTCGCAATTTGCCTTGGCGCCAATAGATAGCCATGCAGCATCGGTGGACTTCCCAAACCATCATAGTCTATTGACTATTGGTCTCTTGGGGAGAAGTATTTAGTGTTACAATACGGATTGAGCTCGTACAGAGCTTCCAGACCAGGAAGGTGATGAAGATAAGGCTCGAAGGCTCGAACTCAACCTCTGGATTATCGGAATTGTCGGCAACAATATGCTATCCATCATCAAGATATCGAGCTCATGGAAAACACATAAATAGACGTGAGAGTCTTGATGATTGCCTCTTCTCTTCATCCTTGGATCATCAACACAAGCTTCAAGGACATAAGATCCGGTCTCCAAGTGCCTTCTCACAAGCCATACTCTTAGAACAAGAACTCAATCCCCATCCTTCAAAATGCGGTTGTCCGTCCTTCTTTCCATCCTTCCCATGGTGCTGGCCGCCCCAGCCACCGAGAAGCGAGCAACGCCTGCTCCTCTCCTCGTTCCCACCAGCAAGCACGGCCTTGTTGCTGATCAGTACATTGTCAAGTTCAAAGATGGCAGCTCTCTCCAGGCTGTTGATGAGACTCTTACCAAGATTGCCTCAGACGCCCACCACGTCTACCAGCATGTCTTCAAGGGTTTCGCCGCAACTCTGGACCAGGAGACACTCGAAGTTCTTCGTAGCCACCCTGATGTAAGTATAAGTCCATCTTAAACACAAAGGCGTAGTTACTTACAATGCTTTTAAACAGGTTGAGTACATTGAGCAAGATGCGATTGTCAAGGTGAACGCCTTTGTTTCGCAGACTGGCGCTCCATGGGGCCTGGGCCGTATTTCCCACAAGGCTCGTGGCAGCACCACTTATGTCTACGATGACAGTGCTGGTGCGGGAACTTGCTCCTATATCATCGACACTGGAGTTGATGCTACTCACCCCGTACGTGAAGCTCGAAATTTAAGGAAGATAACATGAGAAATCACCAGAAGCTGACAAAGGGGCTTTATATAGGAGTTTGAGGGTCGTGCTACTTTCCTTAGGACTTTTGTTTCAGGCCAGGACACTGATGGTAACGGCCATGGAACCCACGTCTCTGGCACCATTGGCAGCCGCTCCTATGGCGTTGCGAAGAAGACCTCGATCTATGGCGTCAAGGTCCTCGACAACTCTGGAAGCGGTACATTCGCCAACGTCATTGCGGGCATGGACTTTGTTGCCGACGACGCGCAGACTCGAAACTGCCCCAACGGCTCCGTCGCCAACATGTCTCTTGGTGGTGGCTTTACCGCTTCCGTCAACGCTGCTGCCGCCGCCTTGATCGACGCCGGCGTCTTCCTGGCTGTCGCTGCTGGTAATGATGGTACTGATGCTCGCAACACCTCTCCTGCTTCTGAGCCCACTGTCTGCACTGTCGGTGCCTCGACTTCTGCTGATGCTCGAGCCTCTTTCTCTAACTACGGCTCGGTTGTGGATATCTTTGCCCCCGGCCAGGATGTCCTCTCCACCTGGCCCAGCGGACGAACCAACACCATCTCTGGTACCTCGATGGCAACTCCCCACATTGTTGGCCTTGGTGCCTATCTTCTTGCTCTTGAGGGTCCCCGAGACCCCCAGGCACTTTGCTCGCGTATCCAGGCGCTTGCAGGCCGCAGCCTCCTTTCTGGTGTCCCTTCTGGTACCATTAACGCTGTTGCCTTCAACGGCAACCCCTCCGGTTAAGCAACGGAGGCAAGCCAATGAAAGAAAGAAGCAGAGCACGCAAGCATGTTTTACATGAGAGTTATCGGACTAGCTGAGGGATGATGGCACTGACTTGGGGTTGAACATTCCTTTCGATGTAGATAAAGCTTAGCTTAGCTTGAATCGACGATGCCGTGCTTATTGATATGACCTGTTTCATTACGTATTATACTGTGACTATCGAGTTAGACCATACGCGTCATTTGCTGCAGCACAGAGTTTCGTTCCTTGGCATTCCAATTACCACCTTGAAGCTGCAGTCAGAACGATATCATTGCCTCGGAAAGAGTGACAGTAGCACTGAGCATCAATAGTGTGTTACGAGATGGATGTGTTGTAAAACATATTGACACCCCTCACTGTAACCTTGATTTATGCTTACTCTGCAGATCGATCGCTTCTACTTCATGTTGGTTTAAGAGCTAGGACATCATGCTCCTGGAGCCCATTTCTCTTACAAAATCGATAAAAAGTCCATTCCCTAGAAGGCTAATTAGATATATAAGTTTCATCAAAAATATAGAAAAGGGCGGTAAAGAAAAAGGTTGCTGTACCTATCTGTATCCATGGCAGCCAAATGATTAGTATTCGTCATCCCTATACACATTCGTCAAACTTTTTATCAGATCGTATCACTACATTCACCCAGAGCAGGCTTTGTGGGGAATGAACAATCTGCGACAGATTGCATTCCAGCACTGAAGCGGTAAGCAAATAGTAGGGCCTTGATCGATACTATCAAGGAGCTTAAGCTTTAACTGGCTGATCCGAAACTACGCGAAATTTGTTGGTAACTTGCATATCTTGACTTCATTGCAAAATAACTGTATTTTGACGATTTAGCCAATTACTATGGCCCCCTACAACCTGGTAGATGTTGATCTTGCCAAAACTTTCCTAACGGTAAAGGATCGTCATCGTGTCTCATAATAGTCGAGCGATAGGTTGAGACATCTGCCCTACATACTGCTATAGAGACGGCATGATCAACTGAGTGCGACATGTCTGAGTCGCTAAGTCAAATTTTACTCTAACGTTCACATGTCAACCTGGCTTTTTATAGATGAAAGTCTGGAACCGGTCAATCAGCAGACCTTGATTTTGCCAAGATATGGAATTAAACCTATATGCTAGGAATTCTACCTACATCAACACTGCATAACTACTATGGTTCAACACGTAGCCCTATAATCAGGGAGTAGAAATACCTGGGGATATTGAGTATATATTACATCGTATCTCCCCCCCAATGCAAACATCTTTTCATCTGCACCTCGCTTCAGAAGCAAACAGGCATCTGCACCTCACTCGATAACAAAAAGAAATCGCTACTCAAGGTTTATAACTCATTCAAAATGCGTTATACTGCTGTCCTCGCTGTCCTCGGGTAAGAACATGAACCCATTGCCCGCCAAGTATACACAATGCTAACCTCACTAGCTTCTCCGGTTCGTGATTGCATAACTTTAGATGTATTCATACATCTTCATACTAACTCTTCTTAGGAGTCATGGCCAACAACAACTTCGGACCCTTCGGATTTTTCGGACCCTGGTTCGATGGCGACTTCGATATCGATGACCTCGCTGATTTCCACTTCCCCGAGAACCCTTGTGAATTCATTGGCGGCACTTGCGAGGCCACGACCCTTGGATTCTGCTCTGGTCGGGGCGACTTCAGCGTTGACCTGCCTTGTGGCGGCCTCGGAATTGTTGGCGTCGGCTGCTGCTGGCACAGGGACACCAGCAATATTTGGTTTGAGCAGTGGAAGGAGTGGCTCGAGCGACACCGCCGCCACAACTAAAGCCGCTTTAATGTCTTAACGCTTTAATGGCTTGATGCTTCAATGGCTTGACGCTTTAATGGCTTGACGAAGTCTTCAATTGGCGATTTATTGATGTACGGTAGTTAGTGATGGAGAGATTAGCCGTACTGGATTCAATGAGAGATTGTTAACCCCGATTAAGTTGCAAAACAGTGACAAGTAGAGTGTGAGATGATGATGGAGCTTGAGGGATCCATTGATTGCTCTTATAATCCCAAGTTGAACAGTTGTTCATTCATCAAGTCGAACAGTTTGATTCTGCACCCCGTCTGCAGCCAGACTTAATCTACATAGACAACTCTACATTTTGAGACCTTGATTGAAGTTATTCCTGTATACTCAGGCAAATTCACGACATGTAGGATGTAGTATGCTGTGCAGAGGAGCTTATAGAATACATGTGTACTGATCAGATGGTGAATAGGGAAGAGTCGCTGGAGTGAGATATTGGTTTCATTTGTTTTAACCTTCTTACGAATTGGCTGCAGTCGAGTTCATAATGCGACATTTATACTCCATGAATACTCTTCCAATCTGCAATTTCGCAATTGTGACTCTGATAAGATTGAGAAAAGACTTTGGTTTTGACTGCGATGAGATGAATTGCCAAGTCAAATGCGTTAGAGACAACTTTGACTCTCCTCGAAGTACTCATATATCTACAATTACCTAGCTCCCGTGTATGTAATGTGCTAATGACTACTGACTGTATCATACTTGTACAATATTTATCATCTTTGTACTGAGTAGTTCTGATTATTTTGCGTATTTACTTGCTCGACTTTTGCGCCACGGATGGGGCCGCTTTGTGGATCACGAGAATCGCCCCTGAGTGTTCATCTTTAAAGTGGATTGGTCCACTGAGGCGAGATAAATGGGCGACGATTAAATATGTCTCGGAGTCGACTTCTAGGCTCCATTGCCGTTGTGAGAAGTTCAAGAAAGATAGACATTAGTTGCAGATACGCTCCGTCAGAAACAACACTCAATTCTGAGCTCGAAGTAGACTGTCTTGGAGAGTACATGTGGATAGATATGAAGCACATGTGAATAGTAAACATGCGCTGTCAATCTAACTCTACTAAGTAATTAGATGGCAACGCTAATGGAACACACGCTGCCTATTCTGTATATACAATGGAAGCCTTGTTTTTATGACCCAGAGTAGCGGCGCCCTATGAGTGGCATCTCACTACATGAGTCATCCGCCTCATCTTCACATGGCTATAAACAACTGCTGAACCAGAAAGCTGGAGAATAAAGACAACAAAGTTGAATCCTTCAAGCCGTGCCCATCAGCCTAAATAAAACTTTTGTTTCTTGGCGCTCAAATACCCCGAAAATGGATGATTCGCTCGGACCGCCTGTAGCGTCAGCTGAACCGGCCCTTCTGCCGCCACGGACGCCTCTCCACGGCCGCTACACATCTGTGGTTCCGCTACAGCCTGAACATTGGAGAGCAATATACAAGCATCTTGGAGGAGGAGAAAACGCCTGGAGATGGAAGTACATGCCGCTTGAGGGCCTCTTGACGGAGGAGGCATGTGAGTTAACAATCAAGGCTTGGTGCTCTTCAGCCGATCCCTTATACTATGCGGTACTTTCGGGTCCAGCTTCCGATCCCGCTTCGGAGCCGGCAGGCATCCTGTCATACTTGTCGATCGTCCCAAACCACCGTAGAATTGAGATTGGGTGGGTGATTCTAGGCGACGCTTTGAAGCACTCCAGGGAAGCGACGGAGGCATTTTTCTTGTTCATGAAGCACTCGTTTATGGATCTGGGATATCTACGTGTCGAATGGAAGGCCAATCATCTCAATGAGCCGAGCTTGGCAGCGGCTCGGCGACTGGGTTTTACGTACGAGGGAATTTTCAGGTGAGATTTTGAGCAAACGTCAACCGCAAAATGGCCCATTCATTACGGTATGGTGGATATGCTAATTTTTCTTGGCGGGTTTACAGGAAACATATGATTGTCAAGGGCAGACGCAGGGACTCGGCTTGGCTTAGTATCATTGATGATGAATGGCCTGCTGTGCAGAAGGGATTTGAAGTCTGGCTGGATGAGAGTAACTTTGACGAGAATGGGAAGCAAAAGAGAGGGCTGAGAGAATGCAGAGAATAAAGCGTGATAGACTAGAAAGAAGGATCTGCATTTGATGTGGGTTGAGAGCAAAGACTTGACATGCGAATTGATGCAGTTATTGGTAGAAGAGTGATGAATCAACAAGACGCTGTTTATGACGTCAAGGGGCCAATGGCGACGACAAAGCAGACATAATCAGTCGGGCTGATGACACGGAACGGAGATTCGCCGATCTACGGCACCCGCGACTCGTATTTGCTGGAATTCGAGATATTTTTAGGAATAACATCGCAACACCAGAGCGGCGAAATCAAGGAGACGGATTTTCAGATGCCATTTTCCCCGATGCTAATGGAAATGTTAAAAATAAAGTGTCCAAATGTGTTATGGCGCTGGTTGTCGATGGCTTCTCTTTGTGTACCTGTCAGCTCCCAGCGGCCTGGCCGCTAAGGTTTGACTGGTGGCGGCAGCTCTGTGCCGGCGATTGCTTCGATTTCCGAAGATATGGATCGACGCGCGTTCATGGCAATTGACTATCAAGGTTGTTCTGGTTATTAACAATGAAGTAGTGTTATTTAGTTTACAGCATCAAATAGGCGTTGATGGGTCAGAAGAGAGAAGACGACCTGTCTCATTGACGGGTATAGTGCATTTAGTTGAAGAAACATGAAGCAATAACCAAGAGGTACAAGCAGACTCCATCTAATTTACTTGTGCAGGAAGTGACACAAGAGAATATGGTAACAAGCACATGCATCCCAGTAGATAATTACCCATTGACAGCTCTGCCAATCCCGCCCTGGGGCGCACAAAAAGAGCCGAGACCCCAAAAAGACCAAACCACCAAGTCAGCCACATGCCGAATGGCCGAAGCTTGGAATGGGGCGCGCGCTGAGCCCTTGAGTTATTGGACGCCGTGGCTGGCTGATGGGGCAAGGCAGCGGCACCTCCGGTTCGCCAGGGCTCGTAAGATGGCGGCGAGAATTGGTGTTAAACTAGAATTAGACAAAGGGTCTTGGATTCGTACTCGAGGTGACGGCTGAACGGCAGGAGATGCGCCATCACCAAGAAAACAAGGCTGCTCCCTGGTCGGTTTTTTCTTTATTTTGTGGCCTCTTGCTCCCTTACCTGCCCCCTTTTCATGAACTGAACTGGTGAAGCCCAGTAGACAGAGAGATTCATAGTCTTCAAGTCGAGGGCCGGAGATAAAGAGAGACAAAACTTGGAGATGAGGTGCTGATCTTCCTTCCCGAGCGGATCTTCGCTACTGCTCCTTCCCGTCATTCCAATCTAATTCTTTTCACCTTTCCAATTTTCGATTCTCCTCTTTGAATTCTCCATTACTATTTGTCCGCCGAGGAGTCGGTTACTTCTCAGACGGTCGACACTGCCTCACTCTCACTCCTAATCGGCACGCCCTCTGCCTGCCCCATGGCTTCGACCAAGAGTGACACAGCCTCAATTGAGGAACTACGGCACGCTCCATCAGGTCCCATTGATGGTGCTACGACAGAGCGGACAGCACACATGGCGGCCATTAGCACTGATGCTGATGCTGCTGATGCCGGTACTAAGAATGCTGATCCTGTTGTGATCCCTATCCCTCTAGATGATGATCGGAATGATGCACGGCAACAGTTGTCTCAAGAGACCAATGAGAAACAGCAACCACAGGAAAAGCAACAACAGCACATTCCTCATCGAGAGGAAGCTCACACTCCTGCATTGAACGAGAAAGTCGACGCCTCTCTTGCAGCACCAAAGGCCGTCGTCTTGCCGCGAGCCGGCACATTTTCTTCCACCCTTACCGCATTGACCGCCGCATCTTCCTCCTATGGTCTGCTCTCAACTGCTCCTGTATGCGAGATCCCGGAATCGGTGCCGCCAGATCGCGTTACCCTAGTCAAGGCCGAGAAAGGGGATGACTACGAGCCCCAAGGCAGCAAGCTAAAGAACAACCTCTATCCCGCAGTTGGTTTCTTGGAGCTAGCCAACGCTGGCGATTTCGCTGCCAATGTGTGGAACCAGTATCCAGTCCCGGTGTATGCAATTGTCTTCATGGCGGTTGGGGCGACATTTGCCGGCATCATGTCTGTCTTTGCCGCTCTTGACTCAAGGCGTGCCTGGCGGAATGTGAAGTTTCTTCGCAAGCAGCAAATTGAACTGAGAAAGGCGCATGCCGCCAGAGTAGCAAAGTCTCAGCCGACTAGGGACCTGGATGTGCTGCTGTCTGTCATATTTCGCGAGCTTGGCACGGAGGCTATTAATCGCTGGGGACTCAACATGTTTATGGGTGCTGGTGCTGTACTCATCTGCGTAGGTACATATCTTGCCATTGCCGGAGCCAACGATGCCATCTTCTTGGCCAGTAACCTTCTTTCTGGATACGTTGGTAACGCTCCCATCGCCCTCTTCGGTACAATCAACGCTTTCTGGGCATATTACATCTTTTGCAAGGCCCAAGGACACATTAATGCGGCATCGAAAGCTATCCCTGGTACACGGGCCTTGGCTCTGATTAAGAGGCGCAGCAGAAATGTGCAAATCTACACCTCTATCAACGGCACTGCCACGCTTGTGGGAGGTGCTGGATCCATGGTCACCGCAACGAGATGGTGGGGATATGTTGTGCTAATTCCCGTCATCTTATCCTCTCTATTCTGCAACTATTGGTGGCGCACAAGAGCAGGCTATACGCGCCGTGATTTGGTACCAGCTGGGCTGTCAATTATGAATGCCGATTCGCTTTCCACTGCTTTGGAGTTTGCTTCTAGAGCGGAAGGCAAAATCAGGGAGCAGAAAAAGACGCCCATCAACGCCTTTGTCTCGGACCCAACATCTCTAAAGTCTGTCCTCGCATTTATTCAGGAACATGAGCTGCTGGAACCGTTCAGCCAACGACTCGTAAAGGATGAAGGTTTGCGGAAGGCTCTTGGCTTTACCAATACCCCAGCAGAAATCGAAATCGATCTTCTATCCCTCTTGGCTTTACCTAATGATCAGCATCCTGCAGTTATTCAGGTTGCTCAGGACACGGTGCGAAAAATCGGATCCAAGCATTTTAAATATCGAGAACGTTATGCAGCTGAGCTGCTTGGTACATATTTTGCTGTTTCACGACACGAAGCAAAACACCGGGAAAAGGCTAGACCTCAATCCGAGAAATCCGGGTCGCGATGAGAGAAACTCATACAACCTGTAGAGCTGTTTGTTAAAAATTTAGATACTTTATTGTCTGAAAGCATTTGAGCGAGGAGTTTTGATTGGCTTTATTTTCTTTTAAATCCACATGCATATACCGGCGCAATGACAAGGCTTTATTACATCCCTTGCGGGAAGGTCTTGGGTTGGTGTAAAGAGGATAACAAATCACATTGAAGATTATCTCATTCTTAAATTGTCCATATGATAGTTTGTGCCAACTGTTTCGTCAAGTAGACTCAAAAATACGGGCGACTTTCGCTGCACCGCCTTGTCTACCAAACATCTCCCTCAAGTCGCTAACAAGTTCATCGGGACACTCGTACGCAGCGAAATGCCCGCCTTTCTTATGAGTTGCATGAAAGACTACCGGGCCAAGATATCCGCCCCATGATTTCGGAGGCACAATGACGTCCTTCGGAAAAAGTGAAATGCCAAGAGGAACATTGGGGATATACTCAGCTATCTTGGTCAGTTCATCCTTTTGCTTGCCAATAAGCTCGTAATATATCGTCACGCTGGACGCAGGGCCCGCGCGGGAGAAGAAGTATATGGATATCCATTCCAAGATTTCTTGATCGGTCCAAGGGTACTCATCGGTCCATTCTTGCAGTTTCTCGTATACCCATGCTAGTAGCGCGACTGGAGAATCCGCCAGTGCGAAGCCGATCGTGTTGGGCTTCGTACTTTGTAGGATCATGTAGCCGGAACTATGTTTGAGATACCAGAGTGAGCGGAATATGCCCTTCTGTTCATCTTCGGATAGTAAGCCCAGATAGTATTGAGCAGCAAGCAAGAGAGATCGCCAGGCCGTCGGCCTAACAGTCATAACGTTGACGTGGACTGCAAGGCAATGATCCGGATAATGGAGGGATATGGCACGGGTGACCATGTAACCCCAGTCGCCGCCTTGCGTTACTAGTAAATCACGAAAATATGAGTACCAAGTTGTGTAAAAGATTGACAGAAAAAGAATGGGATCTAAATGTTTACGCACCATACTTGTCATATCCCAGCTTAAGCATGACTTTATGCATCGTCTCTGCGTATTGTTTAAGACCAAAAGCCTTTTTTGTGACCTTGTCGGAGAATCCGAAATTTGGTAGAGAAGGCGCTACAACATGGAATGACGGTACATCGTCGCCCTTGGGTTCCGAAAGTGATTGTATAATTTTCGTCACTTCTACGATGCTGCCAGGCCCTGGCGGAAAGAGTCTTAGTACTTTGGAGATATTCAAGATGGAAACCTCGTTGCTGACTTACATCCATGAACAAAGAGCAGTGGAATGCTATTCGGTCGGCTGCTTTTTTGGTGTATGAAATGTATGTTGAGCTCTTCATATCCGTCCACGGAAATATTTGTCGTGAATTGCGGGATTTGGTTTAATTTTGCTTCGTAGGCTCGCCAATCGAAGCCGTCTTTCCAGTATTCGGCCAAACGCTTCACATCACTCAAGGACACGCCATAGTCTCGGTCATCGGAGAAGTCGGACTCAGTTGGAAATGTGGCGTTGGAGAGCTTGTTCTTTAGCTGCTCCAGCGCAGAGTCTGGGATGGCAAGCGTGAAGGGGGTTATATCTTGCGACATTTTATTCACTTGCAATCAATTCAATCGGCTGTTGAGTTGTTTGAAAGAAGGAAAATGTGGCGGTTTCATTGAGTTAAATGTCTTGTTGCGGAGAAGATTGTTTCCCCGAGTCCTTGCAACCGAGGATGCGGGGGAGTGATGATGCGACCTTACGAACACGAGTGGGCGAGCATGCAAGGCTGCCAAGGCTGTGACGGAAGGTTTGCGTTTGTTATCCATTGATGGTAAAAGTTATCGACTGGCTGCAACTCTTTTAAGCTATAGAGGAAAATAACGGCTGCCAATTGGTTAGATACGCCCTTTCATATGCATGCTCTACCTATCGGAATCCACTGTTTGATGTGCTTTAAGGGAATAAAAACTCAGCATACCCCGATCTTGCTATCTAGGATCCCATTTCGGAAATAAAACCGAATACTACATGAATATAGTTATAGTGGGAGATATTATAAATATACAGTCATATATCTGATATCAGAGGAATGTAGCCATAGTACTGAATACTCGAGGAACATGGCGGCAGTAGCAGATATTGTTATACAAATGTCGTATCCAAGGGCGCCGAAGCCGGCAACAACTCAGGAAAAGAAAAATAATATCACTAGTACAATAGTCTTGATGATCGAACTGATCACTATTCCTTGTGTAGTGGTAATGTGACCTTGATTAATCCGATAGCTTTATCGCGGCGGAGTAGTCGTTATTAAATGAAGGATTAGCTATCTATCAAACCAGCCTTAGAGTATGAAGAAATCTTACTATGCGTGGAATCGGATATTATAACAAACTAGTTGAAAACAGATCTTGCGTATTGGTCTCTTTACTCTCGCTTGTAAGAAGGAAGAAAAGGAGGGATGCGACGCCGACATCCTTTCCTTCCAGCATGCTGGTGTCAATCAATTTACCCAACCTCCATCTGCTTCAATAGTCGTTCTCAATGGAAGTAGCAGTTTTGCTCATTGATCATGAAAGCGAAAAGTAAATAAAGAAATCTGTGCATACATCCAACTCAATCTACTGCATATGCCTATCAATCTCAGCATCAGACAAGTAATGCGACCCCCCCGAACACCGGTAACCTCCATTCTGTTTGATCCAATTAAATCCCGCGGGACATATTCCAAGAGCCCTGATCTTTGCCTGTTTCGCTACTTCCTTTTTTCTCCCTTCTTCTTGTTCAATGAGTTGCCGTAGAATCTTTTCGCGCGCGGCTTCAGCCTTCTTCTTTGCTTCTTCGAGTTTTCGACGTTCTTCTTCTTTCAACTCCTGTTCCTTGAGCAATTCTTGTACAATTTTTTCCCGAGCGGCTCCAGCCTTTTTCTTTGCTTCCTCGAGTTTTCGACGTTCTTCTTCTTTTAACCCTTCTTCCTTGATTAATTCTTGTACAATCTTTTTCCGAGCGGCTTCGGCGCTTTTTCTGGCTTCCAAGAGGTCGCGATATTCCTCGTTTTTACGCTCTTCCTTGGCTTGATCTTTTTGCAGCTGTTCCCATACTTCATCGCTTACACCTGCGTCTCGCACCACTCGCCGAGATTCTTCATCATCTGGCGATTCAGGCTCTTTATTCGCTTCTTCAGTCGACTCATCTGTATCATTCCTTTCATCTACAGTCGTCGATTGTTGAGCTTGCGTACTCGTACTGGTTCGACTGGGGCCCGGTGGCGCGGACGAGGCAACCGCTTCATCATCCATAGGAACAGGGGAGTCGGATTTGTTCATCCTGGATTGACGGTCTTGTAGCATCCGATTTAGCTCCTGGATGACTCGTTTTTTTTCCAATTTGAGTGACGGCAACGCCAAATTCACGGTTTGGAAGACGTTTCTGGCAAGCTGCTTGACGTCTCTTGCACTCGCCCATCCATCTGCTTTTGATAGCTCAGCAAGGATGGTAGTACAATCGATGAGAAACAATGCAGAGGGTTTTTCCAAACAACTGATATCCATGTTCTTGCCGCTCTTTGAGATCTCCATTTTCCTTTTTCGCAAAAGGTCAGCAAGGAGTCGGAAACAGGCATCTGGCTCGAGTGGCTTAAAGTCGATACTTTCAGGGAAGCGGCTTGTCAACCCGGCGTTCACGGACAAGAGACGATTTATATCGTGTTCATATCCTGCCAAAATAATAATGAGCTTGCCCTGATATTTTGGTGTTGTCATGAGGCCAACAAGCTCATCGATGGCTTCTTGGGCAAATCCGCTCCCGGCAAATCGGTAAGCCTCATCAATGAGCAACACCCTCCCCAGCGACTTTTCAAGAACTTTTTGAACTTTTGGTCCGGTTTGGCCGACATACTCCGCAATCAAATCTGTAGCTGAGCATTCTTCCACTGTAGCCTTGGAAAGGAAGCCCATATCATAATAGACTTTGCCCATCTTTCGTGCCGTGGTCGTTTTCCCTGTACCAGGCGGGCCTCGGAATAGGAAGTTGAATGGGATCTCTTCCTTGACGTCCATTCCAAGAGCCTTCAGCTGTCGCACTCGGGATTGAATGTTTTCGAGCTTTTGGATAATCTCTTCCCGCCCAATGTCGTCTTGGAACAGCTGTTTCACGTTCGTCTCCGTTCTTGTAGATCTATCAAAATCTTCGTCAAAGTCTGCTGCCTCTAACTGGTTCCTCTTTATCTTTCCAGCAGAGTAACGCTTTTGGTAAGAAGCCTTTGCTTTGCTCAAAAGATTTGTCACTGCGCCCCCATTGCCGAAATGAGGTCTGTTCCGTTCTCTGATGAGCACATCGAGTGCAGCTGTCTTGCCTTCGCCCGTGGTAGTGAAGCCTGAATCCTTTAGCTTGAGATCCAGCACTTGTCTCAGCCCATCGTCGTCAAAATCTTCAAACACAAATGGCGTGTCCACCGAGAACCGTCGACTAAGGCCTGGATTGACGTTCTGAAACATTTCTTCCATCTGCTCCTGGTAGCCTATGAGAATGACGCAACGGTCGTCACCGGGCACGTTTTGAACCTCTGCGACAATTGTGTCGACGACGGATGTCTTGTAAGGATCGGCTACTCCCTTTCCGCCGTATAATCCGTATGCCTCATCAATCACCAGCACTTTGCCGATTGTTGAGGCAAGAATTCCTTTCGTTTGAGATTCGGATTGCCCTAGATGAGAGCCGATGAAGTCTGCGGGGGTTTTCATTACCAATTCTCCATTGGACAAGAGGCCAAGGGTTGCGAGAATCTCGCCATACAGCTTAGCGACCGTCGTTTTGCCTGTCCCAGGTGACCCAAGGAAAACTCTGTTGAGAGTGAACTCCATCGGGGGCTCTTCAGCAAGTTCACGTTCATAGTTAGTCGTCAGCGAGTCGAGTAAGATTTTCACTTGCTCTTTCACTTCTTTGAGGCCTATCATCTCATTCATCTTTTTCCATGCTTTGCAGCTCTGTAAAGACAGTGATGGCTCTGGGCCGATAATGTCTTCTTTGGTAAAGAGGAAGTCATTGGGAGATTTTTTGGCCCGACGCTCAAGTCTAATCCTGTTTGCCTGCCTCTTTTCGATGCGGGCAAGGCAATTCTCGATGCTTCGTGCATTGCCAAATCCCTCTTTGCCTCTACCTCGTCCAACTCGGCGGGCAGCAATTCGAAAGTAAAGACCGTCTGGACCATCTTCAATTTCCATCTGGTTGTTGTACTTCCGATTTACCTGACGCTTAAGAATCCGTAGCAGCTCCTTGTCGGTATAGTCTTCAAAGTTCATCGTAATGGGGAACCGACTGGGAAATCCGGGATTGTGCGCAAAGAAAGATTCCATCTGCTTGGAATAGCCAGCAAGTACGAAGACGACCTTTCCCCGAAGATTTTCAACCTCGGCAAGAAGATAATCCAAGACTGCTTTGCCGCCTGGGCTATTTCCGGATGAAAGCTGATAGGCTTCGTCTATAAACAAGACGCCACCACCATCCTCTTTGATCTGTTCCAGCAGATCTTCGCAACCTTTGACACCCATGTTTGCGAGTTTTGATCCTGTGGTTTCTTTGAAGCAATCGCCAGGAATAGCTCCTATTCCAGTGAGGAACTTTCCCCATATACGGGCCACGGTCGTTTTGCCTGTTCCAGGATTTCCAAGGAGCGAGCAACTAAGCCTTGTATCGGAGAGAGCCACCCCTTGGCGAATTTTGATGTCGACGTTGGTTTTGACTGAGAGAAATTCCCTCTTCACTGATTCCAAACCAATGAGTCCCATGAGATCATCCAAAGCGTCGTTGTGAGCTCCATCATCTCGCTTCATGTCCTCCCATTCCTGTGCTGGGAGATCCAGATCCGCATAATTAGTAGACGGTTGCTTCTGTTGGCTCTTCTCTTGTTCTTTCTCGCTGGCGGTCTTTTGTTTGCTGGCAGCGGCTTTTGAGGCTTCCATTCTGGCTTTTGTTTGTTTAAGGCTCTCAAGGTGGGATTTCTTCTCCGCAAGTTCTTTTGCTTGATCCGCCTCCTCCTGCTCATATTTCATAATGCGCCGATGATGATCAATCTCATCATCCATTTCTTGCAAATCACGCTGGTATCTATCCTGTCGCTCCTGTCGCTTTTTCTCCATATCCAGATCTCGTTGGACTCTTCGTCGCATTTCTCTGTCTTCTTTGGCGCACGACTTACAGCCTTGGTTCTCTTTTCCACATAGATATTTGATGTTGTGGCCTCGTTCGCATGTCTTCTTCATCATTTTCGTGCATGGTACTTGAGAATGATCCGTCAATCGATGGCATCTGCGTTCGCATGTGTGCTTCCCACAGCCAAGAACAGCGCCGCTAAGATATAAAGTTAGAAAGATGATGGCCAATTGATGAGCTGCAACTTACCATGACTCTGCACAGCCCCCATCAGGACAGTGCTGATCAAAATCTTGAGGTTTTTGGAGAACAGAAAGTCGATCCGGATGTTGTTCGCAGTGAACTGGTAATCCATCGAACAAGAATCCTTTCTCCTTCATGGCATCAAAATACTTCTTCCAGAGCTCACCACCTTTTTTGCTAGCCAGGAAGGTGTTCATATTTCCATATAAAATGATTCCTTTTCTCGCTCGTGACATGAGCACCACTAATCGTTCGCATGCGACTAGGAAGCCAATGTCGCCATTTTTGTTGCTTCTGGCCATTGATATAATCACAATGTCACTTTCTTCTCCCTGATAGTTATCCACTGTTGACAATCGCAGTTTTGCTTTGGCAGCCTTGGAGGCAGCTTGTGTCATTAATCCGGCGCGCACTAGGTCATGGGTATCCAGTTCGTTCAGATATGGGTCATTTATCTCACTCAGCGTTTGTCTCAGCAATGAAAGCTGACCCATGTACGGAGTGAGAACGACCATATCCTCGGACTTGTAACCTTGTTGGCTCAGATATTTGACCGTTTTCAAGACCATCTCTGCTTCAAATGCATTCTTCTTGCTGGCTTTTGATGTCGGATCCCTCCGGTCAGAAACATTATTTAACTGCTCTTCTGGATGTTCGTGATGCACAAAAACAACTCTCTTTTGCAGTCCACGTATCGGCTTATAGTGGTGCGTTTTTGGTACATCTTTTAGTTCAGGGTATGCTAAAAGACGAGCAAATTGTGAGATATCAGGATGAGAACGGAACTGTTCTTGTAGGACGGCAAACCGGTGACCCTGCCTAATGAGGCGTTCGAAAAGTGACACATTCAAGTCGAATCCTTCGCCTTTCTCCACGGTGAGGTTGTAATTGTTGACTTTGGGACGGAGTTGCTTGTGGTCGCCAATAAGAATCAGTTGCTTGACAGATGGGCTGAGAGAGGTGATGACATGAGCCTCTAGGATTTCACCGGCTTCTTCAACAAGAACAATATCTGGGCTGGCCGCTCTGATGATAGATTGGTACATTGCTGCACCAGTCGTAGTACAACCGATAATTCGTCTATTCTTGACGATAGTTCTCTTGCTTTCATTTTCCAGGCTATTGATCTGCCGGTAGAGGTTATTGGTAGTCTCTGCCAATTGGGCGAACTCGTCAACTTGTTCTTGACGAACTTGGCTCACCCATTCGTTATAAAGTGTTTGTCGGTGTTCTGGTGGAATATCCCAAATTGGATAGTGTTCAGGATCAATATTTGCCGCCAACATGCCCAGAGATGACCAGTGTCTTCCTTCCAACCAGTAATCAAAGACATCGACAGGTTGTAAGGGCTTATTATTCTTTCCTGCGATTTGATCCCCATCAAGGAGTTGGAAAGCACCCCAGTAGCACATTCCAGAAACGGAAAACTCCAGCGTATCCAGAATTTCCTGCAACCGAACCTTGGACTTCAATGACTGTATAAGATTGTCCAATCGTGTCACCGTCCGTAGCTGTTCACTTTTCAGAGCACTTTTCATCGCTCTGTTATCATTGCTTGAGCGATCCTGAGGAATTCTTGGGAGGTTGTCGATTCGCAGCGCATCGGTCCTCGCTGTAGCCTTGGAACCCATTCGTACCATGTTGCCTCCATCGATTCCATTATCCATGAGATCTTCTAGAAATTGATCCAAGGCATGGTTTGTATAGCTGAGAACCAAGATTCGATATTCCGTAAGTTCCATGAGGATTTTCGCAATTATGGCCCCGATGAAAGATTTGCCAGTTCCCGGAGGACCTTGAATTTGGCCCACAGGATTCTCCAAACCCTTGATTAGTGACTCGAGCTGTGCATCTCGAATATGTATAGTGCGCTTGAAGCCTAGCTTAGGTTCCAAATCTGCGCCCAATCCCTTCTGGTGACAAGTTTTGAGTTCCTGGATGAAAGCCCGTAGCCTTAGAGGAGGGTCGTATGTCGATGGAGGTCCCGCTGGATCAAGGATCGCATTCTCGATCGGAATCTCAGTGACTTCCTTCAAACGCTGTAAAATTGGCTCATAGGAAAACGTCGCGGTATCGACGACGTAAAACCTCAAACGGGAGGGGTCTTGACTCAATAATGCCTTGACGGCCAGTTTCAGACCAGCATTGTCGGTGACTTGTATGCCAACCACTGGAGGATCCCTAATAAGCTCGTTCACATCTCGTACGATAGAGCCAAAAGCAATGATGTCTTTCTCCAAACAGAGAGCTCCGATTGCACTGTGCTTCACAAAGTTTTTGTACTCCTCAAGGTATTTCTTCTTGGCTTCAGGGGATCGTTTATTCTGAGGGAAATTGATCCCCTCTCGACACTGAACCATCAATGTGAACGGCTTCGCCCGAAAACCGCCGAGATCATAGCCAACCAAGCTGAGGCCGCGCAAACAGAGCGGCTTATACTTAGCCTTTTTCTGACCCCATGCGATCTGCAGATCCTCTCTCAAATCTGCCAGCATATCTTCACGAAGAAGCCTGAATAGCCAGGAGATGTAGCTGCTTGTACGGGACTCTCTTGGAATCTCAAATACATCATCCAATCGTTGGAGAAACGGCTCTTCCTTTGAGCTCACTTCATCCGCTGTTGGGAATATGGAGATCTTGCGAAAATCCTCAAAATCATTATCGTGTCTGCCACCGGGGCTGTAGTTCATTTTAACCGATGCAGTTGCTTGTCCCTTGCGTAGCTGAATCACCTTCTCGATGCGATAACCAAGGGTGCGCACCTCTTCCAATGGCGATTTTGTCAATGGAGAGCTTTTCATGAGGGATTCCACGTCATGAGAAAGGATTTGGATGTCGGGCGATGACGAAGACACAACCTCCAGACAGAGAGATGCAAAAGCAACCAAAGTCTCGCCTTCGAGTTGGTTGCATTGATAGAATCCAAGGAATGTAGTCCAGAAGGTGGAAGGTGACAGAATTTCAACAAGCAGCTTTTCAAGGAACAGACCGTCATTGATGGTTTTGACATCATGATGCAAGACTCGTTTGAGGAAGGCCGTTGTAGCAGTTGTGATGAATGCACGCGAAAGGTTGCTGCGAATTGCAACCCTCACAGTGCTTAAGCCCTCTTTTTTCCCAATAATGTGTTCGACGCAGGCTACAGCAGAAGTATGCTCGCATACAACATCCACTGCTTCAAAGAATTGTTTGGCCTCTTGCGAATTCTGCACAGAGCAATCGCCTTTGATAAACGAGTAGAAGAGCTTCTCAAGCTTTGCAGCGCGACCGGAGAGAGCTGGCTTTATAGACATTTTGTAGAGTTGTCAAAGTCAAGAGACTGAATGATGTAGAACGCAATTGTGAAGATAATTGTGAAGGCAATTGTGATGTGTGTCATGTGTTGATGATTAGGAGAGACTGCGGTAGTCTCCGTGATATATATGGCATCGCCACGCCAGTAAACTATCTTTGTATCAGTGAAATACTCCAACGCATTCAATTCAATAAGTCAGGCATATCGAATTGGCGCCGTGATGTAGTAAAAAAGATACGTAGGGAGCCTTGCTGCGTCTCATGCTTCAGAAATGGTGGGGTGATGTCTCCTCTTGTTGGCCCGAAGTTGTAGACCTCCCGCAGCAGCTTCTGCAAGTCGCAGCCTCGCCATATGATTAGGCCACGACAGGGGATTTTCGCACTCCGTTAGGCTGCAGCGACCTGTAAGAGGCCAAGAAGATAAATGAGTGGCACAACCTCTGGCCAACTGCCATTTCACAGCGTAACCGCCAGGTGTTGGCCAAAATGAGCGGCCAACTGCGCCTCTACACGTCTGCATGTCGCCGGAAAGCCGTAGGCCTCCCGACATGAGTTCACAATGACGAGTTTAATCTTTGTAGGCCTCCGTCATTTTCAGGCATCAGAAAGGATGGGAATTGGCATGCCGGAGGCCTTGTTTGGTATATAGGGAACGCCTATTCAGCATCCTGAACGTGTTATCTACTATTCTAGCTATAAGTATCACCTTTCTGCCTTGATGTTTCTCTAATCTCTGCTACTATTTATTACTATCTACCACTATTTACTACTGTCTGCTATTGTCTACTATTATCTGCTACTATCTGCCACTGTTTGGTACTACTCGCTTATTTCCAGCGCATTGTTAGTTCTTAGAGAGTGATTCACGGGAACCATGTCTTATTACAACAAAAGATGGCGCGGCCGTGGGGGCCATCAGGACATCAGACCTCGAAATCCTCTTGCGCAATCAGAGGAATCACCGCCGCCTCCTTTAGGTGAACTGATTGAGATAATTAACCAGAAGGATCTCGAGGATACTTCCGAAGGAAATGTTGCCTTTGGAATCACTGAGAGTGATGTGGTAGCCTCATACAATTGGGCTGATCAGAAAGCTCCAAAAATCATTGTGCCAGGTACGTTTCTAAACACAAGCTCCATTGAGAATGGAATACAGCTAAATTCAGTCACCATAGGTCGCCCACCTCTGTGGACACCACTGGAGAAGCCTCGAGCACTTCTTGAGGATAATGGAGTCTACTTTCGTGACAACAACTCGGCATTCTTCCCGAAGCATCCCCTCGAGCCGGCGATTGTTGCCACTATGAAAATGCATCCGACTTCACTTCATATCGACCTTGTTGCATGTAATAGTACCATTGGAAACCTCTTACGGTTCGTCCAGGGCACACTTGTTCGGGGCGTCGACCGCTCATTTCGTATGGTCGTGGAAGTCGTGGGTAAGACAGTCCATTTCATACGAAGAGAGAATTCGCCGACAGAGCAAATAATGGGGGTCAGAGGATTTGGACACGCATTCCCAGAGGCCTATACCACATGGACTCCTGACGTTCGACCTTCCAAATCGCACCATAGACTTATCAGATACAAGTTCGGTGGGCTTGATATACTGTTGCGGTCAAGTGCTGATGGATACATCGAAGAGAAAGACACGAATGCCCTAACGGTTGGTAAATCCGCATCCGCCGGGGACAAAGATCTGACGAGTCTCTTCGAAAGTGTCTCCATCGGGACCTCATCGGCTTCACCAGCCGATTCTGGCAACCTCGAGGTGGTTGATGGTGGTCAGCCAATGTCTCAACAATCTGTTTTTGATCTAAAGACTCGGTCAATTAAACTTATCGAAAATGACACTCTCGCAGAAGAACTACCACGCTTGTGGCTTGCTCGTATCCCCAATTTTATCCTTGCGCATCATACACGAGGGACTTTCAACAATATCGAGATTGCCGATGTACGTGAGGATGTCCAAGACTGGGAAAAATCTCATCAGCAAGATCTTAGCCGTCTGAGCACTCTTTTGCATCGGATAATCGCCACGGCTTTAGAGAAAGACGGCACTCTGTTAGAAATTGTCAAGTCGCAGGGAGGTCCTTTGGAGATTCGAAAACGTCTCCCAGATGCAGGCGTTGCGTTCTCAGACCAGGTGAAGGACCAGTGGCTTCAGTGGCTCGGACATAGCGATGATGACGTTGAAGAGACACATGATGGCGGCAAAAGCTGCGGCGACTGCGGCAGTGACAGCGACAGTGACAGTGATGCCGGCGATTTTACTGCTTGCAATGAAGAATGTGGATATTGTGGGAAATGCAGCTCATGAGTGTATGCCAAGAATCATTGATAATTCTTAGTCAACCAGCTTTATTCTTTTACTTGTGTCTCTCGCAATGTGAGATATTTATGATGCGGTAATGGGCAACTGTTGTTAATGAGCAGCCACAAGTAGTGGAGAAAGCTCTGTATCCTGAACAACAAAAATCGTCATAAGCTTAATTATGTAGAAGAATACGAATCTCAGTCTTTTAGTCAACTGTAGCATCGTGGATAAACGGTGAGGCGACATGGACAGCTCGGACATCCGGATTCGCCGAAGCCTCCATATTATCAGATGTTTACATTGTACGGAAGATTCGTGCCATGTCGTTGCAACCCTCTGGAGTTTGACCGTTTAGAGATTTCTAAGCAATTAACAATGGCCATCAGCTGCCATCCCATCCTCGCGCCGATTGAGCTCGGCCAGAAGGTTAATGCTAACAGCAACACCGCTGAGTAAGATTACATATCGCCTTCTGAAGAAATCACCGCTCAGACCCGAGAGCGAGCTAGGCGTTAATTTCTCGGCGCAGATCGGGCGTTGTAGCACGCGAATTGTCCGCTCGCGAAAGTCGTTAAGCATAATTTGGCCTGAGTACACACAGTGGCGCTACATCGTGAGAACATTCAATATTATCACATTTAGAGCTACGTCATATTGTGTAGACGGTGATTGTCTATAAGATTCAATCCCCCCGCTTCGCAATCTACAATTCATCCATTCGTCTCAGAACCATCAAGAAGCACATAACTACCAACTAACCAACCGACCGACCAATAGATCTAACACAACCTCGCAACCTATTCAATCTTACTACCACTCTTGCATAAACCAAAATGGCCGCTTTTCAAGACCACGAGGAGATTCTTGAGGCAGCCTTCAAAGATCCCAACAACACCCCAATCATCTTCGAGCCCTCCAACGTGAACCAAGTCATCAAAAGCCGCCACTATGACGCTGATCCGGATTTGCATTACTCAAAAACCCAACTTTGGGACATGGAAGTAAAGAAAGCGCACAACCCAGCAAAATACCTACGACATCTCTTGCGGCCAGGAAGTCTTCAAGTCTTCAACCTTCAAACGAACGGACCCACAGAAACTTTTGTGCGTGTTACCGATCAGGGAACTTGGGTAGATCCCACGACATACAACACAGTGATCGAGCAAGTCTTCTTGGACAATGAAAACGAAAGGGTCTTCTTTATTGGTGTGCCAGAAGTTGAGGGTCCGGATGGTCACAAGATTGTTGCTGGAACAAATCAGCCTCTCTTCCATGTCGAGCACTCTGTGACTGGCACTGAAGAGGAGCCGCTGAATGTTTGGCGAGTCGTTCATTTGGATAACGATGAGGATGGAAAGTTGAGGGAAGCGTTTAAGAGGCTAACGGATTCGCCCTACTTAAGGGAGTTTAACGAGGTCTATATCCGTGAGGACCTTGGCAAGAAGTTGGAGCGCAGATAAATATTTGAGGCTTAACCCAAGTCTAGAGGCTACCGCTACACAATGCAGCCACAATACTGTATAGATTGTACAGATATTTCACATAATCCATTTCAAGAAAATAAGCATGATCCATTAATTCGTTCAAATATTAAAGATTCCACTTAACTACAAGTGTTCTTCTTCACTTTGCAAGTCGCAGTTGCCACCACGCTTGGATCAGACTCTGATGTAGCTGTCAGCTTCACAACACCAGTCGCATCCTTTGCATGAGTCTCAGCAGCCACCGCTACATAGGCCTTTGCGGTTTGCCCATACTTGACAGGAATCACTGCGTTCGGCAGATTCGCCTTCCACCCAGATCCCTTAACATCGGCTTTCAGTCGGAAAATATCCCACTCAAGGTGATCTGCCTGAACCTGGCCATTGGCGGCACTGGAGGCTACATACGTGCCATTATTCGTAAGCTCGAATTCGCAAAAGATGCCTCCAGTTACTGGGCTGCTTTTGCCGTATGTGAATGGAACACCAGAAGACAACTGAATGCCATATTGGCTCGAACTGTCGTCAACCAGAGAACGCACGCCGACGGTATAAGACAGAACGCTAGTTTCATCTCGGTGGACATGCAAAATGTAGATATGAAGACCATTTGGCTCATCCACAAACTCATACTTGCTTCCAGATCCAGTGCCGGCATGGAATAGCGCATCAGCCAATTGACGGTAATCGCCCATGGTGATATAAGCATCGGTTCCGTTAGGTCGGGTAAAATCGACGAGTGTGATGTCTTCGGGGTTGGCATCGATGGTCCATTGGAAGGGCTGGCTGTTGCTGGTCTTTGACTTGCTAATCATCACGCCTGAGTCAGGTTGGAATGAGTCGGCGCCCATTCGATCAATCACCTCGATATCATAGCTGTTGTAGCGACCTCCGTCACAGAGCACGTCAGTCGAAATGTTGCATGCTGGCGAGCGATCCTGGTCGATTACAACTCTCAAGCCAATGAGATCAGACACGACGGATCGCGCTGTGATTTGGGCCACGACAGGGCCTGTTTCGGCCAGGGCGTCTCTTGTTATGCTCACCACGCTGTCGTTGGAGATGAGTCCAAGAACGAGTTTGTCTCGAACAGTGTGCAAGGAGCCCATAGAACCACCCTGAAGCGCTGGAATTTGGTATCGAGTATGCGGACCTCCAGGACCATTGAAAGACCCGCGGGACATCATTGAGAATGGACCGG